AAATGAACCGGATTCAATAATTATTTAAATTGATAAATTAAACTCAATAGCTTTAACATCAACTTATTAGCTTATACAATAATTTAGCAATCAATTTTCCTAACTTTAAATCACAAGCATTCAAAATTGGTTTCTCATAAATTTAAAAGCTTTCTACATTCAAAATTTAAGTTATTTATATCAAAATTAAATTGTTCTCTCCTCGTTTCGTAATAATCGCAACAGTTTGAGTTTTGCACTATTCATATGTTTACTTTGACTATACTTTTACCAAAATATATAAAAAATAAGTTGCCATGTAAAATATTTTTTGATTAGTTTTTATGTATATTTTCATTATATTAACCTTTTATACTTCTTAATAATAGTTCATCCGTATTTTATTACTTGTTCCACTTTCCTTTTGCGGTTGTATTTTATTACTTGCTCCATATCTTTTTTTGGAAACCTTTCATTATATTTTACTAATTTCTTCTTCTCTAATGGACCCCAACTATTTAATTACTATGATATCTTTAGAGTCTCTCATCTCTCAACTATCATACTTTATTCTTCCACCAACCCTACGTCCTTCATACTCCGTATTTAATTATTTTCTATTATTTCATTTAAAACTCCGCACATGGAAAAATGAAGCAAGTAATAAAATACGAATAGAGTATATAATTACAAATATTAATGATCAAAGTTGTGCATCAATATGTGTGTCACTCAAAGTGTTGCGATTATTATAAAATAGAGGTCACTCAATGGTCTTTACCTGCCTTGAAACATAGTAGTACGATGTATTGTATGTACTTGTTGGTACCAAACAAACATTTATAGGAGTATAGCATAAACATTTCTTATTGCTTAATTCATAAGTATAATTGTATAAGGTCATCCCTTGCGTCATTGCAGTGTGATGACTGCGATGAATCTTGAGTCTTGCCACTCTTGCATAACCTTCTTAGAATGAGCGTTGTTAAGTTCTTAGAAATTGCAAATTATCACTTAATGACATATGAATAATACGACACGGGAAGAAAAATACCATTAATAATAGAAAAATTTAACAGGAATAATCCAACTTTTTGTCCGTTCTTCCATATTAATCCCACTTTTTTATTATTCCTCATTAATCCAACCTTTGCCCCCCTTCTTCCCATTAATCCCATATCACACCTTGCAGGTCACCTTACCCTTTCAACCGGTTACCCATCCACGTGGCATTTCCTAATTGGTCAATTTTTTATTTTTAATTTAAAAATATATATTTAATTAAAAATAATAAAAAATGAAAAAAAAAAAAAAAAAACTCCTTCCCCTTTTTCCTTCCCTAATCTTTCTCACTCTTCTCCCTTTTCATTCGCACTTCCTGATTACAACCACCGTCACCCCGCCCCCACGCCGCCCCGCCGTTAACCCTCCCATTACCTCGCGGCTACACCCAACCCACCCCTTCTCGTTATTGTCGCTGCTACGTCCTCTCTTTTTCTTCTCTTTTTGTTTCAATTCACCACTACCATTAAAGTTTTCAAGTGTGAGGTTTTGATGGTTAAATTTAACCATGATAACTCTAGATCTAGTGTTTTCAAGGTTAAATTTAACTAAATAAAACCATAATTGAAGTTTTGAAAGGTAAGTGTGGCGTTTTTCGGGGTGGTTTAGGGTTTTAAATTTGTGTGTGATTTGGAGTTTGCAGTGGTTGTGTTGTGGTTCGTGCCTTCATGGTTAGTGAGGTGGTGAGGTTCGTGGTGTTGATAGGTTTTGGTGGGTGTGGGTTATAGCTTGTGGTGGTTGTGGTTCGTGGCGGCAAGGAATGGTGAATCTGGTGATGGTGTGTTGAGGTTGGTGGGTAAGGAATGGGAAGGGAGGTGAGGTGTTAAACTGGTAATGGAGAGGAGAGGAGAGAGAATGAAGCTAAAAAGAAGGGTTGGTGGTTTCGGCTAGGTCAGGTTAGTGGTTTTAAGCCTAGGTAGGAGTGCGGGAAGGGTTTCGGGTCTGGGTTTGGGTTTGGGTAAGTGGGTTAAGTGGTGGCGAAGGTGGTGGTGGCGGCTAAGTTGCGGGTGATTGCAAGAGGGTGGCACGTGGCTGGCTAGCTGGTTGACAAGGAAAGGAGGGAGTAGTGGGACGGCTTGTTTGACGGGGAAATAGGGTAGGTAGACAGTGAAGTGAGGTGGTGGCGGGAAGGTGTAGTTGTGGCTGTTTTGGTGCTAGTGGTGGCCAAAGGTGTAGTGGTGGTTGTTTTTGGTGTAAGGTGGTCAAGGGTGGTGAACGGAGGTGGAGCTTTGGGTGGTGGTAATGGAGGAGGATGATGGCAAATGGTAAGAGGAAGGAGAGGAAAAGGGATGACCCGTTGTTTAGGTAACCGGTCATTTGGGTTCATTTTGGGAAGAAGGGGGGCAAAGGTTGGATTAATGAGGAATAATCAAAAGGTGGGATTAATATGGGAGAACGGACAAAAGGTTGGATTATTCCTGTTAAATTTTCCATAATAATAAGTTATAATATATGGCGTAAAGAAAACTATGCAGCTATATTATGCTATCAAGTTATATACGAAGCATTAGAAATGTCAAAAACTTACCCGATCCGAAAGATTTATCTGAAACCGAACTGTTTTCGAACTAGTTGAACCATTTTTTTTATCCAAATTCGATTTGGAGTTAACCCGGAGTTAATTTGAAACCGACTTCACCCGATAATGTATGATCCAAACCCAACTTGAAATCGACTCATATTTAATCCAAAACCAATCAGACCCGATAATTCAAGATCCAAAATCAACCTAGCCTGAAACAAAAATTACCTGAAAACATTTACACCTGAAAAATACCTCTTTTTATCCGACCTTTATTTACCCAAGAACCAATTAAACCCGACTCGAAACTACTTATGGTCTAATTAAACTCAAACTATTATTAACCCATATCGAGTTGCCAATTAAATGAATTGATGTTGATAAATAGTTGCTAAAACGATGAACGCAAAACGATAATAAAAAGACATTTTACTGTGACATGACAATCACCTAGGCCAATAAGGCGATACGCAATCATTTTCTATAATGATTTGAGCTGTCAATTTTATACTAATTTTGATAAACCAACACAAAACTTAAATGAAACCCAAAAAACGATGCAAAGTACTTCAATAACAAAAATGACATGACCGATATGCTATAGGTGAAACCAAAATGACTCGAATTGAGATTGATCCCACTTCGAATTACACGACCCAAAAATTAAAATTAAAATAATTCTAACTGAGAATGAGCTAATAACTGAAGTAACCCAGCTCAAATTTGAACTGAAACTAAATTGGTATGAATCGAGATCTAATCAAATCTAAACTGACCTGGTCCAAAGTCTAGTAAATCCATTTTGACCCAATTAAATTCGATAAAATCCGGATTCAAGTTCATTTGAATTTGATATGACTTTACCCGAATTTGACTTGACCCAAATTCGATTTGATTTGGTCTAATAGGTTAAAATGACCCATCATTATCCGACCCAAACATCTCGACCCAACATGGGTCGACCCAAACTCCATCTGGGTACCCAATTTGACACCTCTACGATGTATCATATATAGTTGCATTGACAAGCCAAGCAACAACATATGTAACCATTAATTTTAATGATTGTATATAATTACCCAACACTATATAATAATCCCTGAATAATATGATAGGATTCTTGATAACTAGTAAATTAAATCCTAAACCATACAATGTATATTATCATTTATACATGTATGTACTGATGTACATAGTACAATGTACCCCTAAAGAATCATCACTTATTGTACAATAAGTCAATAAATTAAAATCATAACAGATTAGATGTTATTCTCTTCGATTATTTTGTAAGTGTAACACTTTTCATGATGAATTGAATAATAATGTAAAACTCCGTATGTAAATTGACTTTTCATACCTTAAAACATAGTAGTACGAACTGTACGATGTACTATATATTGTAAACATTTTTTTTTTTATTGCTTAAGCTCATTAACATTCATACTATTTCATCATCCCTTACGTCAGTGCGGAGCTATGACTACAATAGGTGCTAAGTCTTGCATAACCTTCTAGAGATTGCAAAATTCAACTTATTGACATAAGCGGATAAGCATAATGTATTCGGACAATGATCAGCTAACCCAAAGGGTTGCCAATATTGATTTTTCATTGGTCAAGAATACATTGAAACATTAATATTATGCTAATTCTCTTTCTAATTTATTGCAAATATATTGTTATTTTATTCTATTGTGTCTAGAAGGGTTGACAACCCTTAGCGTCACCCAAACATTTTCCAATGTATTCCCTTCATTTCTAGATAAGTGCATCACTTTTTTTTTTTTTTTTACAATGTTTAGTGCATTACTCTAACTTTTGCATTATGTATATACTAATTTTAACCGTATATTATCACTAACGCATGATAATAATTATTATAATGTATTACATAAAATGTTGCTAGGTTAGTCACAATACATACATATTTTCATATTATCATTTTTTGGACAAATTTTAATAACAAACAATCAAAGATATTACTCCGTATAAATGGTACACTAAGGCCTTGTTTGGTTGATATGGGAATTAAATTCCCATAGGAAATTGCATTTCATGGGAAGTTATTTCCCTAATGAAATTCCTAGAAATTTTCTAAATTTGTTTGGTTGGCAATGTGTGAGTTTAGAAATCCCATGAATTTTGATTGACCTAGGAGGGGCTAGGTAATTTACTTCTCATGTTTTGTGGGAAGTTGAAATTCCCACGAATTTCCACTTCCCTCATTTTTGTGTCAACCAAACAACTCCTCAATTTATCAAATCCAATGAATTTGCATTTCCCCTATTTTATGTTGTCAACCAAACAAGGCCTAAATGTATATTTTATTAACGTAAAGAAGAATATTATTAATTAACATCAAGCCATATAAACAACATTAAAAAAAAACAATATAATTTGCGGTTGCGGCTATAAATACTACCAAGTCTGCTACCATAATATACAAACCAAGCAACCATTATAATTCCATATTAACTTGATCATCACTTCATTAGAATATATGGGTGAAGAAGGAGTAAAAGTGTTGGGAAGTTGGGGAAGTCCATTTAGCCGAAGGGTAGAAATAGCCCTTAAATTAAAGGGTATCTCATATGATTATCAAGAGGAAGATCCTTATGGTAACAAAAGCCCTGAACTATTAAAGAGTAATCCAGTGCATAAGAAGATTCCTGTGTTAATACACAATGGTAAACCAATTGCTGAGTCCCAAGTGATTTTGGAGTATATTGATGAGGTTTGGGAAGGTTACCCTATCTTGCCCAAGGATCCTTATCATAAGGCTACTGCTCGTTTTTGGGCTAAATTCATTGATGATAAGGTAACTCGAACTTGATCTGATCTTCTCGTTCTTTACTACTTTCTTGATTTTGCCTTACTTCTTGCTCCTTTGTGTCTTACATTTTTAATACTTCGTATTTCACAATACTAAAGATGTCGACATCATTGCATTCGTGGCAATTTTATACTTTCTCCTTAATTTATTTGATTTTTACTTTATTCATTACACATTTACTTTTTTATGTCTTTTGTGATCAATCAATCAATTACATTATACTAAAGGCAAAATTTAACGAGACACTTGACAACATAATATAAAAAGTTTTCCCTTCAAAAATACTTACTGAAAAAAAACTTATTGTTACATAAAAATAAAGTTGTATCTAAATTATGACTTTTACTTTATACAAAATCTAAGATAAACTTTCTTAAATATCAAATTGCCCATTATAACTATTATTATATGTTTTTTTTTGAAAGAACTATTATTACATGTTTAATTATGTTCTTTCACATATTTTTCATACTTTTTAATACCGAGTCTATTCAAAAAAATTTATATCAAATTTTTTATATAAATTTATTGTCATTATAATTATTTAACAACCGCCCATTGTACGAGATTTAATCTAGTTCATAAATAAGAAAAATAGATCTTGTTTGAAAAAATGTTACTCCGTATCAATTTTTTTTTTTTTTTTTTTTTTTGTTTTTTTTGTTTTTATAAAACAATTTTTACTTGCAATTAAAGATATTAATGGTTAGATTTATCATTTATACATTGACAAACGTAATATTTTCTCAGTTTTTTTTTATTATTATTATTATGGGGTAACTGGGTAAGTGTATCATTTTGACTTTACATTATTTACACAATTACACTTGTCTTTGGTCATCTTTATGAGTTAATTTAGGAAAAATACAATCATGTGAGATTTTCTTAGATTCGTCTTGAGTCCAAAAATCTCACTTTTTCATTTTTTTATTAACCGTTAATTAAGTGGTCAAAAAAGTACTCGTACGCTGACAAATATAAAAGTCCAAGTATTACATTTAAAGAGAAAGTAAATTAAACAGGTCAAGTAAAAAAATAACTAATATATAGGCTAAAGAATTACTCATGAGTCATGATAGTGAAAATTATTTTTACAGTGCTTACCATCACTTTGGAATGCATTGTGGGCGACAAAGGATGAAGAAGAAAAAACACTCAAAGAAGCAAAAGAAAATTTAGAGATCCTTGAGAAAGAGATTGAAGGTAAGAAGTTTTTCGGAGGGGAAGAAATTGGATTTGTAGACATTGTTGCAAACTTCATTGGCTTTTGGTTAGGAACGATCCAAGAAGTTTTAGGGAAGAACATTCTTACAAAAGAAAGTTATCCCTATTTGAGCAAATGGACGGAGGAATACGTAAAGTGCAACATCATCAAGGAAAATTCACCTTCAAAAGATCGTCTATTTGCGTTTTTTAAGCTTCGTCATGAAACCATCGAGGCTTCAAAGTAGTAGATTGTGTAATAACTTCTTGTTCTCTCAAAGATCGTCTTATTTTGCTTTTTAAGTTTTTGAATTTTTTCTTTGAATAAAGCACCATGTTTTTTCCTCTCGTTATAGATAGGATTTTATCAAATATTAATGTTTATGTATTTATCATGCTCTCTTCATTTTCTTTTGCTTATCTCATTTGGAATATCTTAATATTTTAATGGATTTGAAATGTATATATTACTTTAACAGTTTTCTAAAGGTATTGAACACATGACCTTTAAGTGAAAGGTAAGAACTAAACCATCATTCCAATATGACACCATTGATAAACATTTTTAAAACAAAAGTTAATAAATTCCAACAAATTTATTTCTATACAAGATTTAGACAAATTGTTGGACCTCTAATATTTGATAGTAATGATAAATGTGTATCATTTTCGGCATTTTATATACACCCGGATACACAAGACTTATTTGTTGTAAACGTGTATTATAACGTCAAATTTTCCTCACTATACAAAAGTATTTGAAAAGCAACACTCCCAAAACCTTTTATATACACCCGGATTCACATAGAGGTAGTAGCACCCGAATGTATATAAAAAATTTCACAACACCCCAAAACATCGCCCCACTTAAAGATATACTTATATTAAATAAAGTAATTTCAAGGAATGAGTAATTTTTCAATATGCATAAGTTATTTATATTAAAAAAACATTGTTTAGTATCATTGCGTCCCTTATTACTTTTCCCACTAGGAGTTTATCACAAAAATTAGGAAATTAAATTTGGGACATGATATAATTGCTCTCTTCATTTTTATTTTTTATTTTGAATAGGCTCTCTTCATTATTTTAAGTATTACACTTTGACTAATAAATAGTTTTAGGAAAATTAATTGACTTGAATAAAATGATGTAAGTGGGGTAGTTAGAGTATTTAAAAATTATTTTAAAAAAAAATGGTGGGGTTAATATATTTTATTTAAAAGTGAGAAATGTAAGAGGGAAAAAAAAAAAGGTCCCGTTTACTTCATCTTATTTTTGCTAAACTGAAATTATTTTTACTGAAATGATTATTACTGAACTGAAATTATTTTTACTGAACTGAACTTATTTTTACTTTTATTGAACTGAAATTGTAACACCCCAATAATTCTCCCTTTTCCAAACCACTTACTCTAAATAAAATATAGGAGAATCATTGGCATGTTACCGCCACGTGTTAAAACGTTAAAACTTCATCAAAGTATCGCAGCGGAAAAACCAAACTTAAGTCTTTAAAATAATATAGTAAAGAAAACCAATAAGTCAAAGCTTACAAACTGGAACCATAAAGGCCCTTATTTAAAACCAAACCAATATTCAAAATCTAAAGCATGAACGAAATAGTAAAATATAAATAAGTTCAACACAAGGAACGAATACTCTCAATCACACTAATCCCTTGACAATAAGTTTGCCAAATCCCTGAAATTCATATCATCAAGCTAACCTGTGCAATACTGCTCCCTAATAATACAAGCGTAATAATTAGATCATCACAGGGTCATTGAAAGACGAAGGACATGATCACAAGAAAACACACAAAAGCACGCAATCAGCAAAGCTGAGTACATACAAGATACAACGCAACAAACTTAACATGCTCAACTAATTAAAGCAAATAACATTCAACATGAATTCATTAACCAAGACTCCACACTAAAATAGTTCAATCAACTCAACATACTCACTAACCAACTCCAAACACTTGACTCTATATATATTTAATTTAATTAATTTAGTTTGGAGTAAGCAATAGACGAGGTTATCCAATCCACCAAATCATTTTGGTTCCAAACAACCATTTAAAATAAAAATATAGCGCGATGCAAGAATGGGCGCGATTGCATTCTCACAAAATTAGTCTAGGATCCCATCTAACTTTCATTATAAAATAAAAATGTAAAAACCAAAAGAAAAGAGGACATGTTGATCAAACAAGCCTCAGAAAGCCATGGGCTACCACTGTGTACCCCAACCGATAATTGTCAATACTCCAGAACTGTACGCTTTCCAAAGTTTTATTGTACATCCATATTTTACTTTACGTGATTACAAGTTTAATTAATAACCGACTCATTCAAGTAAACCATAAATAATAATCATACATATAATTCACTTTTAATCTTATTTAGGACAATGATGATCACATCGCAAATTGACCTTTAATTTCTTTAAATTCCAAATTACCAAAAAATGTTGAACGTAGTCAACCCACCTAGCCATTTCGGCTTAATCCATCTTTACTCAACATACTAACAAGTCATGCTTAAGTAATAAATAAAATAATAATAACCTCATGGAATGATTAATAAATTCATTCCACTTAAACAATTCAATTTCAATCCTTCAATAATCCAAATATGGTTAACAAACCAATCCAATAAAGATATGCTTGTATCAACATTCCATACAAACAATTAATAATCCAATTCAATATGTTTGCATCCATAATTCCATACAAACATAATCAATTCACCAAAACATGTCTCATAAACATAAGCACATGAATTAATTCAATGTTTAACTAAACAATTTCCATCCAAGAGTTTTCCAAACATGAAACTAAGTTCTTTCCTTTTGGTACCTAAACATGATACAACTTACAACGAAATAGACATATAAGTACCTCGTGTAAACAATCCTTTGTGCCACTTTTAATCAATTAAAAGTCTCCTAGGGAAAAATCACCTCTTAGAAAATAACCAACAATCACAAATTAATTCTCAAACTAATTTCCAGCAATATAATTTTATTAAAAACTCCTTAAAACTTCCTTAAAAACATGTTTTTATGCTTAATTAGTGATTAGAGATACAATAGGAATAAAAGCCCCGATTTAATTACCCTTTAGAACCCTAAAATCCCAATTTCAATAAATTAAAACCTTAGGTTTATAAATCATAAAATCCGAAAATTAAATCAACACTAATAATCTGAAATTTATAGTTTAAACCATCAAAAATATTGTTTTGATACTAAATAACTTATTTCAAACAACAAAAACCAAAATCCAAAACAAATTAATAATTTTTTTAAGCAAAAAAAAAAAAAAAAAAAAAAAAGAAAAAGAAAACATAGGAGGAGGAAGGGGGGTGGCTGCCGGCTGGGTGGCAGCGACGCCTGGGAGTGGCCAGCGGTCCGGTGGCCAGCGGCAGGGCAGCAAGTGGGGACAGCAGTGAGTAATGACTCACGTAGGAAAAGGAGAAAGAAAGAAAGAAGAAAAAGAAAAGGAAAAAGAAAAGAAAAAAAAAATAAAAGAAAAAGAAAATGAAGAAAATAAAGGGGAAAGAAATAATGACTAATCTTTTTGTGTGGGGGAAATTTGGGGATTCATGGTGTATTTATTGGAGAGAGTTGTAGGGTAAAATCGAGCCTCATGAAAATAATGGACCAATTAAGTAATAAAAATGGATAGACTTTTGTTTTGTATGGGCATAAATTGTAGAATGAACACATAAAAAATCCTTATGTAATAAAATAGTTTATCAACCCAAAAATAATAATTTGAAACTTTTAATATACATTTGGAAAAATACCAATAAATATTATAAATAAAATAAAATTTCATTTATAAAATATTTAAAAATACGGGGCATTACAGAAATTATTTTTAATGAATTGAAATTATTTTTGTTGAGTATTATTTTTTGAAGGTGAAGTGAACAAGGCCAAATACTTGTATTAAAAATAATGAAAATTTTGGTAGAATTACCCTAAATTTAGGGTCATTTGTGAACAACTAACTTTTTTTTTTTTTTTTTTTTTTTTTTTTGTGTAGAACAACCCGCAAGTTTGAAAAAGTTTGTCTAGCACTACCCAGTAACGTTTTCCGTCCAATTAAGACGCTACTGAGACCCACTTTTTCGCTTTTCCCACCTAATTGACCCCCCCCACTACCTCTCTCCTCCCTCATTAAATTTCCCTCCATTCTTACTCTATTCTTTCACCTTCCTCATTTCACCTTAATTGTCTGACCTAAGTAGCGAATCTCCACCATCATCTTCACCCCCTTTCAAAAATTTGGCAACCCTATCATCCTTTTCTTTGTTGTCTCTCTCTCTTCCAACTCATCTTGTTGCTTTTTTTGGGTAATTTCAAGTAAATGAGTGAATCTACAGCAATGAAAAAGGGAAAAAGTGAAGTAAATACACAAACTACTATTTTGGATATTGCAACAATGGCCAATTAGTAATTGAAATGCAATTGAATTCATTCGCAATGCCAAATTAAGCAAATTCCTGAATTCAATTGAATCCCAAACCCTAGAAATCAAAACCCCCAAACTGAACTCAACCCATAAACCCTAATGCGAATCCCTAAACTCTACTTATGTTAATTGCAGTAAATTAAAACCTTTAAACAAATTCAACAGAATCATGAATTTAAAAAAAGTGTAAAACATTACCTGAATTACTGAGTTGTTGGGTTCAATTGCTTGATTTTTCTTCTCTCGAATTTTTGGATAAGAATGGAGAGAAAGTTAACGAGAGAGGAGAGAAGGGAGGAGAGAGGTAGTTGGGGGGGGGGGAGTTAATTAGGTGGGAAAAGTGAAAAAGTGGGCCCCACTAATGTTTTAATTGGACGGAAAACGTTAATGGATAGTGTTGAACCTATTTTTTCAAAATTGCGGGTAGTTCTACAAAAAAAAAAAAAAAAAAAACGGATAGTCGTTCACAAATGACCCTATCTTTAGGGGTAGTACTACACAAAATTTCATAAAAAGAATAGTTTGGGTAGAATCACGAAAGGAGAGAGAATCAATACTTATGTTATATTGAGTAGGTTGCCAAAACAAGAATTGTACTACTTAAAAAAGGACCACAAAGGAAAGTGTGATACTTTAAAAAACGGAGGGAGTAAAGTGTAATTTTATTTTATTTTTTATTTATTTATTTTTAATTTTTTTTAGTTAAAAAAAAATATTGTATTGTCTATGACCGCATTCAACGAGCTCCACGAACCACATCCTCCTTGATCAAGCTGGCCTAGCAACATCCAGACTCTTAATTAGGTGACGACGATCGAAGACAGGTCTAATTAGAAGCATATTGCAGTAGTTGATCTAGCTGCCTTTTTTGAATTGAAAAAATCGGGCAAAAACACAGTATACCAGCGTATTCTCTCAACTAGAATTGTAAATTGGGCAAAAACATACAATATATTCAAGCTTATTTGCGAGTAGTTTATAAACGTACCAGCTCATTTATACGCCTAGTTGAGAGAAAAGTTACCCCATAATTATCGTTTTTTATCATTCTAGGAGTACCATAGAAATTGCGCACGGTCTACACGCTCTCACTTTTCTTCCCCAGTATAGAGTGTACTGACTCTACTCGAGGGAATTACTAAAAAGTTTCACAAATTTCCCATTACGACTGCGAAAGCGACTTTTTCACCATTCGTACTTTCGTAGCCTCTCCCATTTTCCACTTTATATCAGCTTCATCAATGGCAGAACATTCCAAACTACTAACCCCTTATTAAACCCTCCATTATCACCATCATCTTCGTCATCTTCTCTCTCCTCTTCAATGGCAGCTCCGCATTTGTTGGAGCTCAAAATGCGAGGCCTAATCCTAATCTTTCTAATTCTGGGAACTTTCCATAAAACTCCCACATTAGTTTATGGGGAAGAAGAGTTCAAAGGTGATTACAGAAAACTTTCTGGTATTATAATTCCAGGATTTGCTTCTACCCAGTTGAGAGCTTGGTCTATTCTTGATTGTCCTTATTCTCCTCTTGATTTTAATCCTCTTGATTTAGTTTGGCTTGATACTACCAAGGTAATTTACCCTTTTCCTCTTTTTGTATAATAACTAATTTTAATTAATAAATTGGGTTTTTGGGTTTGATTTTGGAAACCAATTTCTGGGTTTTTATAGTTCTTGTTTTTTTTTTTTCTTACAAATAATGGGTTTGGGTTAATGGGTTGTGCTTTTAGTGCAATAGCCTTCATTTGATTTCTGAATGTGTTAAGGTTGTGCTGTTTTTTTTTTTTTTTTTTTTTTTTTTTTTTTTTTTTTTTTGATATAGTTTGTTAAATTGACTTTATGTATCATCTCTATTTAGAATATTGCTTTTATACTGTTCTTGAAGAGATTTTAATTGAGTTATGATCCTGGATGATGGAATTTCAAATGTGTGTTTGTTGCTTTATCTTATACTGAAGAGAATTCGATTACAAGGGCTCTGTGAACTGTTAATTATTCGTCTGCTCGACATTTGTCGTTGATATCCTGTAAAGAAATATTCCTAGCAGTAATTTCTTTGCTAGACCAATTTTAAAATTAGTGGTTAACTAATACTTCATCAATAGTCACACCTATCATTTTTCGATGTCTAGAAATTGTCGAATATCCTAAATACTTCCATTCTAACAAAATTGACAGAAAGAGTATGGAAAGAAGACAACTAAGTATTATAATTTATATAGGGGTTTTAAGTAAATCAACAGTAAAACCTCAAACTGTGGGTGATTGGGACAATGAGGTTATTGATTCTAGATGGAGGGATTTGTATCTTATCTTTGATCATCACCTTGGTCATTTTGTCAAATTCTGCAAACCAGATGTAATGTCGAGTTACTAGTTGCCTAGCATAAAAATGTCCTATTATGTCTTAGTGATCAGATATTGAACCTAATATTGGTAAATTATAAGTTTAGAACACTCAAATTTGTTCATTTGATGACATTAATAAAAAGGGACTAAAACAGATCTAAAGCTTTCATATTTGTTTGCAGCTGCTTTCTGCCGTAAATTGCTGGCTCAAATGTATCATGCTAGAGCCTTACAATCAAACAGATCACCCCGAATGCAAGTCAAGGCCTGATAGTGGACTATCTGCAATAACAGAACTCGACCCAGGTTACATAACAGGTATGCAATCGACATTTTTGTAAAATATTATTACATACTTTGTATTTATTTGTAGTTTACTTTTCCTCCTCTCCATGTGCGTGTGTGTGTGGTGAAGAACTTGTGTTGTGTAAAGGACCAATGGAGCTTGTTTTGTATAATAGTTGATTCCTTTATCGAAGCAACTTTCTGATGGTGAAACTTTGTGGAACATGAATATGTGGATAACTGGAGATGATTTCTGGTCATACAGTCCAAGTGGGTTTTCCCCATCCAAAGAAAGAAAAATGATCAAGTATGAGTAAATATAGAAAAAAACCCTTTTTTTAAAAAATATTTTTATTTGCAGTTGCAGGGTTCTAACTTGTTAACCTTGCCTGACCAACCTCTTGGACCTGTGTTTAAGTTGATACAGAATCATGCTTAAGGCTCAACATAAACTTGTACAAGTCTATGATTTGAAATATACGTGACAATTGCTGTAAATAAGCTGCTTGTTCCTTGTATAGTTGCATTTTGTTTCATAAATTGTGATGTTGAGACATTTGTTATCTTAATAAATTATTTTTCACCAAGCGCATGATCTTAATTGTCAGGTCCCCTCTCTTCTGTGTGGAAAGAATGGGTCAAGTGGTGTATTGAGTTTGGGATAGAGGCCAATGCAATAATTGCTGTTCCTTACGATTGGAGATTATCACCATCAAAACTTGAGGAGCGAGACCTCTATTTCCACAAACTCAAGTTTGTATATATCCTATAATTTCATGCACACAACATTTGTTATTTTTGATCTATCTGGGTGGCCAATTTTTATTATTCATGCTCGTGTACTTTGTCATTCAAGCTCTAATGACTGCTGGATGCATTCTGTGCTAAATATGCCTCTAAAATGAAAAGTGAGTGGGAAATAAGTAAAAATCCCGTCCTTAATGTGTTTACTCTCAGATCATTAAGAAAAAAGTACTTCGTTGATTGTACTTTTCCTGTTGCTGCTGTTTAATCTGTCAAAAATTATTGTCGCATAATTGTTATGAAGTATTTTGTTATATGACCTGCATATTTGAAATTAAGGGTGTATAGGTGTACTGCATACATAAATCAAGAGTTCTGGATCAAGATCCTCTTCACTTTTCTTTTTCTCTCCTGAATTTGCTTTTCTGGTCCATATTTAATTAAGAAGTTAAATTGAACACTACTTACTGTAATATCTATGGTTAATTATAGGGAATTTTCACATTTTTCTGGAATCTTGTATTATTGTTCATCAAGCTATCAGTAGCTTTAATGGACTAATTGACTAAGATAGAATTTGTTCATGGTTTTCCTACACATATATGCACCCATTTTCATATGGAGTATGTTCAGGTATCAAAAGGTGCATCGAGTCTTTTGATATTGCTGATTCTCTTCGTAGAAAGTTAGAAGCAATAAATGTAATGATGGTCATGAAATCCTTCTTTCTATTAATCTCTCTGAAAACCTTCGTTGTTAGGTAGTTGGTATATGTTATCTTTCCTCTCATACTCTTATTGTCTATTAATTTTTAAATTTCTACTGATGCTGCAGGCTGACTTTTGAAACTGCTCATAAACTTCGTGGAGGCCCTTCATTAGTATTTGCTCATTCACTTGGAAACAATGTTTTTCGATACTTTCTAGAGTGGTTAAAGCTGGAGGTCGCTCCGAAAGAATATATGAATTGGCTTGATAAACACATCCATGCCTATTTTGCTGTTGGTATGCTTGCTTTAACCATTTATTTGAAAGAAGTTTTTTGCATGCACATATGTGAATGATTTTGTATTTCTACAGGAGCCCCTTTTCTCGGTGCAACTGAAACGATCAAGGCTGCACTTTCTGGATTCACCTTTGGTGTTCCAATATCTGAGGTTCTTTGTTTGCTTTTATATTGGGCTCATACGGTATATATTGAGCATAATTTTACCATCTGCTGTTTTTGCCTGCAATGTCCATTAGACTGCCCATTAAACATTAACTGGTTGGGAAATTGGAAATGCTTTGGAACTCTCTTTTTTTTTTATACGGGGGTGGGGGGTGCAGAATTCAGAGGGAAATATGGGTCAATCCATTTACCAGAACACCTAGAGGGGAAAAGAAAATTAGTGAGCCATACATGTAGAAAGGAAGTTGAGGGGTCAATTCCCTTTCTGTATCCTGCTGACCTTGAAGCAAATGGCTGTTTATATCTTTAGTGTCAAGTGCTTTTTCGTTCTACATATCTTAAACTCCAAACACGTCTTTCTTATGGTTTTATTTTTCTATAAATAAAGATATAAAGTGAAGCTTTATTTAGATGCTATGGGAGATTACATCATAAGAGGACCAGAAGTCCTCTAGAAACTAATTATGATAAGATCATGGGCCAATCACGCTGTACATCATTCAACGGTAACTGCCAGAAAATTCCCCACGGAATAGCACGAATGAAAGCAAGGAAGATTACTCTGTAACCAAAAGATCCATGAATAGCATGTCAACCTGTCATTATATTCACGAAATCCGAGCTCACCTCAGACATTGAAGTTAAAAATCTTGTATATTTGTTCCTGCACTCCTTGATTGTACAATGATATACTACTAACCTAATACAATCTTCCATGTAGGGAACTGCTCGTTTAATGTTCAATTCTTTTGGTTCTTCGCCGTGGATGTTGCCATTTTCAAAATACTGTAAAACGGATGATAAATATCGGAAGCACTTTACTGAAAAGGGCAAGGAAGTTCATCATGCCTATCACTGTGAAGAAGAGGAGTTTAAGAGTAACTATTCAGGGTGGCCTACAAATCTGATCAACATTGAAATTCCTTCCTTTCACAGTGAGACTTTTACTACTCATACTGTCATACATATGTCTATAAATGAAAGATGGAACCATTTGCAATCGTTTTATTGTTTTCTTAATGTGTAATCAGGCTCTGATGCTCATCCATCTGTTCTGGATGTTATGGAGAATACTAGCATGGAATGTAGTCTTCCAACTCAGTTGTCCTTTACTGCTCGAGAGGTATCAGATGGAACCTTTTTTAAAGCAATCGAGGACTATGACCCAGATAGCAAAAGGCTTTTGCATCAGTTGCAAAAGTAAGCTTTCTGTTGTGAGCTATTTTTGTTTTATTTTGATATTCAAATGTTAGAGATGTGATCCATGACTTATTATCTACAAGGTATACCTAATGTTATTAATTTGCTCTTTTGAAGCTCTCCAAATGAGCAATATGTGCCCTAAGGTACTATGTAGGCTCTGTTAGAAGTAGGTTTCCTTGGAATATTGCTTTTTAATTGGTTTTGAGAAGCTTAACATAAAGAAAGCCATGATTTTGTTGAAGGATTAGATGCTTTTCTTAGATCTGCTTTTGCTAGAGTCACCTTGGTATTACTAACCACTAATAACATGGTTAGGAGAATTGTGAAGGTTTTTTTGTAACTGCAGGAAGATGAGAAGATTGATCATCTTGTGAGTTGGGCACTTAGTTTGGACTTTTGAGATTCAAATCTTAGGGGATTTGCATGCATTGATAGTAGGTATCTTTTTACTTGTCTTACCTGGCAAATGGCCTATACATTATGGGAAAATTGTGAAGTGTAGACTTGTATCATTTTGGTAGGGCCCTCTCAAACAGTTTCGAGGCCTGTGCCACTTAAAATTATAAAAATAAGAAAAAAATGTATTATTTGAAATATATATGTTAATATGATTATATATTAGGATCATAAACTCTAAAAATCAAAACTACTGGCGTAAAGTACTTCAATGTATATTTTACTACAAGAGTAAGTACAGTATTTTACGGAGTATATCAAAACAAACACTGAAATATTACAAGATCATTACTCAAAGCCAGAGTTGTCTCAAATACAATATTACCTCCATCTCATTTTGTGAGAGCTTTTTGGCCATACAGCACAAGCAAAATGGGACGAAGGGAGGACACTAAATGATGTGTGATTTTGTCATACATTACTAACATAATACAAATTTAAAACATGCATTACATGCTTATATGCAGCTCTTATGGTTGCTTAAATCACCCAAAAAATGGATGATGAGTTTTAATCAATCTATAACAAATTAACAATGTAATTATGTGAAAAGGAAGTCTGCAGTGGACTGATTAAAAATGATAGGGACTTTGAGGGGAGAGAGCAGCGTTAATGTGTTATTTATTTATTTATGAAATATTAAGTTCAGGCATTAGTAATGTAGTATTGCCATGTGAAATGGCAAAAGTTGAGGAGCAATTAGTCACTAGAGAGATTCTAGGTTAGGTTAAGAAATTATTTTGAAGGTTAAAATGCTTTGCACTTTTTAAGTAGTATTTTGAGAATTGTTTAGGAAAGTTTTTTTTTTTTTTTCTCCTTTCAAGAACAGAGTGCTTAGACTGAAACAACAATGAAATCTCATAATTTGGGCCCTCGGCAAAAGTAAGGCCTGGTGTTGTGGGTGTGTGTGTGTGTGATCTATAAGGGATGGACTCTAAATGGTTTTTTTTCTTCTTATAATTCATTGTTAATAAACAGTTGAAACTTGAAAGACGTGCTACACCCAACTATTTGTAGACCTCACACTTTATTTGGATTTTGGATATTGAGACTTATGTTAATTGAAAGCTGTAGAGGAAGTCAAAAACGCATACTCCGTAATACTTCCTCCCTTTTTTTTTTACTTGCAACACTTTGACTTTTACACTATTCATGTGCTCCACTTTGACTAGATTTAATGATTTATAGTCAAGAAAAAAAAGGCATGTGGGATCTTGTTAGATTCGTCTTGATTTATACTTTTATAATATCAACTTTATATAATATTTACATATTGGTAATCAAAGATATTATCTAATGAAATTATGTAATGGCAAGTGTGAAGTGTTGCAAGTAAAAGGAAAAAAAAAGGAAGTGTGAAGTATACTGTAGTTTTGTTTAGATGAATGATCTCGACTTATGTTTCATGTGCTGTAACAAGGATGGAGATACTTGTCTTACTTTTTGAGGTAACCACCTTCATGTTGCGTGATAAGATTATAAGAAATAAGAAATAAAAAACACTGCAGGCACATGTCATTGTTTATACCTAGTGGCCTGCACAGGCGAGTATGGCCAGGAGGATTATATTTTGCATCCTCCAATCTCAAGCATGATGAACCAAACTAATCACTAGAAAAGATTATTTGCTTCACCCACTTAACTGAAAATAATCAGGAAAGATTCTCACATTAATTTTAAGGTAATCCAAAGTGCTCTTCCCAATGCCTGGCCTTGCAACCAAAATTTTCTGCTACGACTTCCTTTTTTCTCCTCTTCTCTCACTGATCCTGTTGACTAGATCTAGACTATAGGTTCATTTTGCTAGATAAAAGAAACCTTCAATATGCTTTCCAGTCCTTACTGTCTCCCTTGTATAAGTAGTGAGTTTTCAAGATATTCACAATGTTAAAAAAACATCAAATTAGGTAAAAGGCTTATGTGAACAGATCCTCAATTTCTCAAGAGGGGCAATGTGATTCTGACCCTGTTTCACCTTGTTATCCGGTGAGCAATTTCTCAAGAAAGGCAATGTGATTCTGATCTTGCTTCACCCTGTTATTTAGACAAGTAAAAGTCATGTCTTGGTCTGAGTAAAGTATTATTCTTTTCTGTCTCATTTCTGTGACAAAGGCAGATAAGCTTAAACTGTAGTACATTGGTTTTTCTGATTGCACTTTCCAGATGATGTGGTAAGAGGTCGTCTGGTTTCTGCGTGTTACTGGTAAGTCAGAATAAGCTTGTTTCACTTAATGTGTATATATTTTTTTACCAGGTCATATCATGGAGATCCTGTTGTAAATCCACTCACTCCTTGGGACAGGCCACCACTAAAAAATGTTTTCTGCATCTATGGAGTAGATTCAAGAACAGAGGTATTGTATCCATTCATGAAAAGTTTGAGCTGGTTTATTTTTGTAAATGTATTCTCTACTGTTAAGCTTGTTAATCTGTCATCACACTCATCCTATTTGTAATGTTCCTGTCAAAATTTTGTGAAGGCTTTTTTTCTGATTAAAATTCATGCCCTTACATGTGCCAGAAATTTGATTTTCTATGGAATGTATGTGGTGGGAGGCTTGATTTCTTTTCTCATTTGTGTGGTTTCTCATCCATATTTCCTTTTGTTTGTCCAATTTTTAGTATGATCCTACATTTAGCTTATAAAATGTGGTGCTGAATGACAGCTCTGGCATCTTGGCAATTGCAAAACAGGTTGGTTACTACTTTGCCCCCAGTGGAAAGCCTTATCCTGATAATTGGATCGTAACTGATATCATCTATGAGATAGAAGGATCTTTATATTCGAGGTAAGCAATACATATCATACATTCCATGCTTTTATATATTCAGCTTAGCTATTGTAGGTGCAGATTTCTGTTCTGGAATTCTCACTGATTTGTGATTTATCCACTTTTTCAGCATGAATTATTCATTGATGGCACTATAATATTGTATACCTGAAAAAAACTACTTGGAGAGCTTTTGATAATGCTTCTATTGGCATCTATATTCTATATTTTCAAATTTGTGAAGGGAAATAAATCACAATTATCTGAATACATGTCATCTCTGATTACTCTTTAAGTGTTCCTTTTTTATAATGTTAGAAGTCTTAGAACTTGTTCTATTTATAATTTTTTACCTGTAGGTATCCTGATCCTGAACTTCTTAAAAGTTCCTCTATAAATTTATGTTTGTAGGTATGTATGTACATATGGTTGATGGATTGATTGCTAATTATCCATTGTTATATCATGTGTGTTCAGTTGTCATCTTTGTGAAAATCACATTTTGATAAATGAATTTGCATTTCGTGAAATGTAATTATTTAAGTTTTCTGGTAGTGCATGTATGTGTTTGGAGGCTTTTTTTTTTTTTTATTTTATTTTATTTATTTTTTAAATTTTATTTTATTTATATAATTTTTAATTACCTACTATATTCTTACATCCAATATCTTTCACCATGATCTCATTTACTATCTTAGTTAATAAGCTGTTTCATTTGAAATTCCACTGGTTATATCTTATAAACTACAATTCTGTCTTTTATCATCTCAAAGCATGGACTCTGTTTTAATTATATTTGGCAAATTATATCTTCCTCTAGGTCAGGAAATCTCGTTGAAGGGAATCCAGGAGCTGCAAGTGGTGATGAGACTGTAAGCCTCAAAAACTTTGATTTCTATTTATTGGTTAAAGCATGCTAACTTTAGATTGCTTACTTATTTTGTTTACAACCTTGTATCAGGTAGCTTATCATTCCCTTTCTTGGTGCAAAAATTGGCTGGGACCAATTGTTAACATAACAAGGACTCCTCAGGTATGCCAAGTATTGTGAGGCATTAAAAATTCTACCTTTTCAATATTTAAATCTGTCATTACCTTCTTAGAGCCTTTCAGCAAGCATAGTCTCCATTAAGGCGTTTAAGGAAAGGTTGTTATCCCTGTTATTTTACAGAAACATATTTGAGAAATTTGGAGGCATTCAGCACTGTAGTCAGGCTAGGAACCAAGCAAGACATTTGTCAGGCTGGGTTTGTTGGAGGTGAGATGCTTAGGCTGAGACGGTGTGTACTATGAACAGAAACATACTACCACAAAGTAGATAGGTGCATCGGATTTGGGAATAGTGGTTCACAGCAAGGAAGAGGGAGACCAAAAAATAATAGAGAGGAGGTAATTAGTCATATTTTGGCCCACTCTGCAGATGTCTTTGACATTACATTAGATTATGCCCCAGCGAGGAAATTTGATTGGAGGAAAGGTGTTATGTCTCAACCATATTGTCCATGTATATTAGTATTGCCAAATAACCGAATTGGTCATGATGGAACAGGTTCATCTATGAACAGCAAATGTTTGAAAAGAAAAATCTTGAATATTGTATATTGGCAGTATTCTTTTCTAACTGCATATTTGTAAATTTGGTCCCATGGCCTGTTCGCCACTTTTTATTTTAGAATTATGTCCCATTTACCGCTTGAAGCACTCCTGATTGTTTATGCTTTCTGTATCACTTAGACGAGTAAAAATCATTTTGGGGTTTATTTGCTTAAGGCTACTTTGTTGTATTTTGCAGACAGAGCATGACGGAACAGATGTTCAGGTAGAGCTCAATGTAACACATGATCGTGGAGCTGACATAATTCCAAATATGACAAGGTCACCTAGAGTTAAATACATAACATACTATGAAGATTCTGAGAGCATTCCTGGAAGGAGGACAGCTGTGTGGGAGCTTGATAAAGGTATAAAATCCCTGGACTGGACTTTAGTGCAACAGAGAAGCTAGATACGTTTTATCCAGTTACTCTTTCAACTGACTTTAAGCTTCCCTGATTTCTGCGGAAGTAGGTTGCTGTATTCATGATCAGTGAAACTGATAATCCATGACAACTAACTAGACTTTGGGATAGGGTACTACTTACATTTTCCGGTTATTTTATTATGTGTATTTATCATGCTGGGATTTTCGTGATGAAAATCTTGATTCTAGAAGTAGATGTGACAAGAGTTGAAACTTTGTATGCTGGAAGTAGTTCTTTTCTAGAAAATGACTATTGAGATTTGATTGTTGTCCCAGGAGGCATGAGTCCTTAGACCTATGGTTAAAGTTTATTTTCAGTTACAGTAGCTGAGTAAGGTCTCAAGTTTGAAAACCCCACCTATCATTCATACTTTTGAGTTTTCAACTCTTTATCATCTGTATGCAGAAAAAAGGATTGATTTAAGTGCTTGTAAACTTGAGGCATAAATACTACATCAGCTATCAGAACTCTCCTTTCCTGTTATCCATGCAGGACAGCGTAGATATTTCTTGTTAGATACCGATGACATGGGGTATGTTCCCAGTGTCAGAAATGTCTGTTAAACAGTTAGGGAGTATGAGTTTCTAGTTATGCCGGAATACATGAACTCTGTGTCTAACAGAGCTGGAATGTCAGACACCTTTCCTTTCTGTGCATCATGATGTCATATGTCTTAAAGAGGTCTTTTCCATGTGAACTTTTCTCGTGTAAAATGTTGTTCTTTCCATGTAGTAAATCACAGGAATATGGTCAGATCCCCTGCATTAATGAGGGAGTTGTGGCTTGAGATGTGGCACGATATTCATCCTGCAGCAAAATCAAAGTTTGTCACAAAAGGTGATTTCTTTAATTTTTTTATCTAGTTGGTTTCTAAGATATATGTTACGTGTTCCTAAAATATGATATCAAATTGCAACAGCAAAGCGGGGACCTTTAAGAAATGATGACTGTTATTGGGATTATGGTAAAGCTCGTTGCGCATGGCCTGAATATTGTGAATATAGGTATTTCCCTGTCCTTTTGTACGTAAATATTATTCTCATAGGTACTGAAGCTATGCCTTTTTATTTCAATCTCAAGAATTTATTCCCTTGTGATGCAGGTATGCATTCGGTGATGTTCACCTTGGACAGAGCTGTCGGTTAAAGGATTCTTCAGCAGATCTTTTGCTACATTATATATAATATCTGGTAAAGTACTTATAGTTGTTTTAGTGTTTGATTTGATTGCACATTTTTGGATGATTTCAGAAGTAATGCCTTTACTGTAAAGGACAAAAGAAAACTACCTAGCTATGAGCTTGGACCTTAGGGTATAGAAAAGCAATGAACCAAAAGAAGAGACAATAGAGCAAAAACATGATACTCAGAAAAACCCTTGCACCTATTTAGGAGTTGGGGACTTGGGGCACCTTGTAGGAACCATCTATTGTACATGAATCTTTCATGCTTCCACAAGAGACCCATACCTTTATACTCCCTCGTCTTATTACTATTGATGTTCTAGACTTGGGATGTGAACTTAAGTTTTACTTTTCGTACTACCAACATAGAAGATTATAATATACTGTGAAATATCGGTACTCTTAATTGATTATCATACGGTCATACCCATACCGGATATGCGGTATGTACTCCTAATTCATGGGTACCGAGTACTTAGATATATTATTTTGTACTTTTTTCTTAAAAAAAAAGTAACTAAATTTTATTGTTTTCAATATATTCATTTTGAGTATTTTGATTTTTTCATCTTTTTTGAATTTGTAAAGTTAATTTGACCAAATATTATTGAAATATTCATGAAATCTTGTTTTTAAGAATGTATTTTATAATACTTTCTTAGTTGTTCTCGTATCCTCTATTTTTTAAATTAGTGTATTATGTAGTTATGTACCCATTTCGTATCTTTCCCCTTCCCTGTCCTTGTCAACAATATGTGGTTCCACAATGTTACCTTTTCATTAACTTCATTCCACTTAGTATAAAAAAACCGTGCAAATTGTACTTGGAGCATACATTTATGGACCGAGGGAGTAATAGATAGCAATGGAAGATTAAGTATATAGCAATAATAGGATTTACTTTATATTAGCAGAAGTGTTTGGCATAATTTTACTTTAAATTTGGATGTGTAATACTGTGAAGTGGCTCGTGGTAGATTCAAGGGTTTTTATTGTTTAACCTTAATTGCAAATCCACTCTTCAATATGCTCTTCTATTACGGGTAACATATGGGGGGTGTTTAGTATAGAGTAGATTGGGGCAAATTAATCCCAAGGGATTTGACTATTCAATCTAGAAACTATAATCGGACGTTTGCAGGTAAAGTTGAGGCAAAAAGAGTATATTGGATGCCAATGAGCAGTTTTGACTGGTTAGTCTACTATATGGTGTTTGCTTGATAGTAGATTGAGTCCAATTTATTCTCCTTCAATAGCTTTTCTTGACAAATCATATATAGCAGTTGACAAATTACATATAAGCCATAAAGCCCTTCTTAGCTGTGTGTGTCAATTTAAATTATAATTTCGGGCTATTAAGTGTTTGATGTCTGCTTATAGGTTATATAGTTTCCCCCGTGCTAATCCCAGATTTTCATGTTCAGCTGACCAATTTTCTTGCTGCAGGAATTGATGAAGAAGGCGCTTGTTTGTGCCCACACAAATTGACAGTGTAGTCCTGAAATTAGCTGTTGGGAGTTGTAGTCCGGAAATTAGCTGTTGGGAGTTGCACCCATCTCATTCTCTGTTGTATTTTTGCTTAAGCTTCAGATTGCATAGTGATTCTTGACAACTACTGTGCATCGTAAATCTTCCACGAAGGCAAAACCCAAGTGTTATAGAAATGAAGTAGACATGTAGGTCAGTAGATTGATATAATTCATTTCTGCTGTACATAATTCATCTTTGTAATATTTTTGCTGTGATCAAGTTTTATTCAATGGATTCATGTAATTACATCTAGATATTCATTGTCTCGCAACTGTATTATTACTTGGAACTACTATCAAATGAACCATGTTTTGAATGCTTCAAACAAATTCCAATTAGAACCAACTGTATTCAGCTCATATGAATGCTTTGAACAACAAATTTGGCGTAAATGATTTGCTATGCAAATTTGATAGTCGTGCAAAAGAGTGCCAATAATCATTTTTGTATTCTCTAAATAAGCCATATCTTGAGGGAATTAGAAGGCAATTAAGGAGACAATTGGAGCTGTAAAGGCAAAGGAAGCGTGGCTATTCCAATGATAGCAATGATTTAGTTGCTAGCAGCCTAGCAGGGAGCAATAGGAAATCAGAGTTGAATTACTTGCCTGTACAATTGCAGCAATGAGAGATGACATTGTGCAAAAGCTTGCATGATTATCTTAGTAAAATAACATTACTGGTACCAACCGCAGTTCGTTGCCCAACTCATCTCCATATTAGGTTAAGTTATTGTTGTCTCTCATTTATACATAATATATAAACATTTTTTTTTAAAAAAAAAAAATCTTCAATGAAGTAAAAGGGTTGATTAGTTATTGAATGCTGCTAAAGATAGGGAATAAACACCAATTCGAAAAAGATAAAGGTAAAAGCAAGCTTAATACTACTATGTAAATTTTAAGAACATGAATGCCATAAAGAGTATGGTTCACTTGAAGTTTAGAAATTGGATAACATGACACTGGTGGTGATGGTGACCGTGGTTGGTGAGTTCTTGGTGGTTTGTCTGGTGGTGATGGATGACTTGTGGTGGTTGTTGGTACAGCAGTGATGGTGGGGTGGCAGCTGTGGTGGTTACAATGGGGTAGGGATGGGTTCATGAGCGTGGAGATGGGTGCAAGAGCAGCATTCAGGCTCGATGATTTGTGTGTTAGGGATAGGAGGGAAAGGAAGAAATTACAGGAGGAACATCTTGATCATTTTACCATATGGAGTGACAAATGCATCATTACATTTTATTTATTTATTATTATTTTATTTTATTTTATTTTATTTATTTATTTATTTATTTATTTATTTTATAATAAGATACAAGGTGCCCCTCCTATCACATAGAGGTGGGGATGAGGATCAAATTCCGGTCACACCGGGAGGAGATGGAGGGACTAACCAACCGTCCACTCCTTGATCCTCAGGTGCATAATTACTTACAGATTGGAGCTGATAATGGCCGAGTTCTTGTCAATTTTTCAGATTCATAGGTATTGCCCTTAACAATGGAACGACTTGAGTTGTAACATTAGGAAATTATCATAAACCTGTTACGCACACAATAACGAAAGTAACATAACAGACATGTGCAATGAGACCCACAGAGACGGCAGAGAGTATGAGCTAGCTTCTCTTTGTAATTTCAAAAGTGTAACTAAGCTCCATGTGGCATTTCTTGTCATCATCCACAAACTGCAAACAAGGGCAAATGGAATCAGGGAAAAATGCTCGATGAGTGAAAGTACAGAAAGAAAGCTGATCTCTTTTTCCTGTTATCGCATTTGTGATTTATGAATACGTGTTTCATTATCTTGTTGTTGATGGCCCTCAGCTTGACAATGACGATTTCAGCTACAACTAAGGGTTCTAACCCAACTTTTTCAAAATCTACAAATACAACTTCAATTTCGTAGGCCATTGGTTGCTAGCACCTTGTCAGGTTTGGTAGTGGGATGTATAAATTAAATAGGCAAACTACAAATTCGGTGGGTCTGTAGAACAATATATAACCTTCATATGTGTGTACACAACTGTGGAACAAAGAATGAGATGTAGGGTAGCCTCCCCATTTGTAATATATAGTTATATACTTAGCAGTTAAGGGTTTTTTTTTTTTTTTTTTTTTTATTTTTTTTAATTTTTTTTTTTTTTTTTTTTAAATATTTAACTTGCACCAATTACTGAACCCTCTTCTGCTTACAACAAAGAAAATAAAATCTTGGAGACTAGTAGGGTGTACGTAGTGGAACTTAGCAACTTACCCTTAATTTTGCCGAGTAAACTCCTCTTGCTAGAGCACCAGATGGGGTAATCTCCTCATCTAGGAGGTGTACATAGGGTTGCTGTTGTGGAGCAAAGGTGCCTAGCATTCCCTCACTTTGATCCACTACAACAAATGGAACAGCTAATAAATACAAATATACAATGGGTAAAGGTAAGCTGAGAAAACCATGATAATGACAAAGTTCTATATACAACAAGGACAACAATGGCAATTGTGCATAAAAGCGACTAGCTTCCTATAATTATTTAGACCTGATAAACAGCCTGAAGGCCCTGAAACATAGAGCAAAACATCAAATTGCACAAGACATACTCTCACAATAACCCACCAAAACAAAATCTATTTCTAATCAAATTCTTCCAACATTGGCCACATTTAAAAGAGGTAACACTGCACATTGAATATAACTTCATAAAGTCAGGAAAATATTTTTCCAAGTCTGTAATGACAGTCACTCACCCTACAGTACATGGGCAAAAGAAGAGTTTACATTTTATCAGCTATTCCTTCTCATTGATATCACTCTTCCTAATATGTTCTTGTACAGTAAATTTCCACTTGAGTTCACTAAGAAGAGAACACCCAAACAGTTTCTTACTAGAGTAGCAAAATTTACATGGGAGATAACAATAGAGAAATACACAGTTGTGGAATCAAATCAGAAGGAGAGTTTGAAGCTGTTAGAGAAATCAGGAACCTAAGCATGCAAGTTCAAGCTGTTCCTTCACGTACAATTAACCAAAGAGCAGCACAATAGTAGCTTTGGTTAAACCATGGATGAGTTCTCTAGTAAAATCCATGGATGAGGCTTGTGAAGTGAACTTGGTCAAATTAAGCATAAACATTCTGAATTTTGATAAAAATACATAGGCTGCAGAACACACATGAAGTAAATTTTTAATAAGACGATCAATTTTCAAACTAATGAGTTGAGCGACTAGTTCCTATGTTACTAGATCAGTTTTGAAATTTTGAAATTGCATGTTCCTACAAAACTGCAAAGTTTAACTGCCAATGATCTCAACTAAAGCTGAAGATCAGAGATTAACTTCGTACTTAAACAAAAACACTCACCCTGAATTCCTGCTCTCCATACGGTATTAGAATAGGTGAGACCAGAGACAATGTTGTACTTGACGGTGAAGGCTAGCTTAAAACGATATTGAGAACCTTCTTTGAGTGAAAACAGAACATTGCTGGCCTGGCTTTCATCCAAAGGCAAAGGAGTATTATTTTCTCCAAGGTCATTGGATATAATTCCTATAGAGTGAAATGTAACTTCAGGTTCCACTTGGCCTAACAAAGAAATGCAAAAGGATAATAGTTAATTAGTATACAAGAAACTCAGTGCAAAGAGGCAAAAGAAAAGCAACAAAAGGTATCCAAAGGCCAACCATTTATATCTCTTTCAACACAGCCTAGTAGCTTCTCTTTCCACCTCCTTAAGCTCTCATCATCCTGCGACAAAATGTAAATTTAACACTTACACTGTTACACATGATTTGATCCCAGACAACATGGATGTATAAAAAATATAGAAAAAGTGCAAAGAAATAGTAGATACACTCTATGTGGGAAATCTCCTTCCAATTTCCGCAACAAAACGGATAGAAATTACACATCTATTGCAAGGGATCGTATTGTAAAATCATGTCATATCTTCAATATTAAAGGTTAGGACTTGTGACAATGTGACCACTACCTCAAAACATAGGGAGTATAATCAAGAATATGATATAAAGTTCAAAATCCACTTATTGCAGCATCTAAAACTTCTACAAAATGACAGTGAAGAGTGTTCAGTTTACCCAATGTTATATACTTAAACATTGACAGCATATAGAAGATGAAAGTTGAATTATGCCTATAAATCCAGGACATTTTGGGACAATAACTAAAACACACCCCAAAGTAATCAATTTAAGCCTGCCCGTTGCATTATACATCATTCATTCAGCTTGTTCTTGTTATAAACTGGGGCTTGCTCCAAAACAAGTGCACTCAAGGGTTCTTAGTAGTAACCATTTCGCACATCAAATTCGGAAGTAGACGAAAACGATTTAATCCTAACACTAGTCCATTTCTGTACTTGATTATACCAAAGTAAACTTAATATATGCATAGGTAAACAGAGCAAATTAAACCCTAGAATTGAGTTTGACCCTCTCCTAGTTTTTTCATCATTATTCAACTGTACAGTGTACACTATTTTGATCCAAAGTTCAACACAATTCTTACAAACCAGCAATGATAATTATGGGCTTTATTTATTTTAATTTTTTTGTTCCAAATTGCAAAAAATTTTAGTCACAAACCCAGGATCAAATTATAAACCCAGAACTCAAATTAAAAACCCAGAAAACCCAGAACATGATATTAGAAATTAACTTTTCAAAATTCAAAAAAGCATAATTCAACAAACAAATTAGTACCCAAAAAATGGAAAAAAAAATAAAATAAAAAAATAAATCAAAATAAAAACCTTGTCTTTCTCAAGATGGTGTTGAAGAGGAACAAGAGGAGGAGGAACAAACTTAGCAAAAGACCCATCAATTGCAAACTCATCAACTTCTTCTTCCACATTATTCTCTTTGTGTTCTTCCCCAAAAATTGAAGATGACCCTGCTTCTTCTCTTTTTCCATCTGCCATTTTTGACTAACTAGCTTTCTCTCTCTAGGATTAAAATGGGCAAAAATCCAAAAAATAAAAGTTTGGGGTTTGATTTGGTGGGGCGGGAATGTCCCTCTTGTTTCTGAATTTTTGTGTATTCTGGGTCTATGATTCAAGTGTAAAGTGTCAACTTTTTTAAGTGGACTTGTCTGCGTCACTCTCTATTTTTTGATTTTGTCGGTCTATTCAGGCTGTGTGCCTGTGTTTTCTTTGTAGGACTAACGGCTCGTTTGGTTGGTGCCGGAGTAATGAATTTGTATGTAAATTTGCAAAGAAATCAATCATAGTAATTAATTATGTATTTTTTTAAGAATAATTAATTATGTTTATTGATACATGAATCAAAGACTTGGAAAATAGGTTAGTTAGATACTTAGTATAAAAAGTTGTATAAGATGATCAAAGTAGGTTAGCTGTATGTAGATATTAATTGTTATACAATGATAGATCTTGCACCAATAAGTACATGGGGTTAAAGTTTAAACCGTCAACCTCTCGCAAAATTATCACTTGTAAGTAGACCTGACAAACGGGTCGAGTCAATTTCGGGTGAGCAAATATTCGGGTCGGGTCGGGTCAGCACTTTAGGATAATTTTGGGTCGGGTCGGGTCAAATTCTGGTCAGCACTTCGGGTTAAGTTCGAGTTGGGTCACTTCGGGTCGAGTCAATTTAGGTCAGGTTAGTTTAGGTAGGGTCAGTTCGAGTCGGGTCAATTTTTAGGTCAATTTCGGGTCAAGTCAATTCGAGTCGGGTCAAGTTCCGATCGGGTCAGTTCGAGTCAGGTCAAGTTCAAATTGGGTCGCTAAAAATAAATTTACTTAGAAAAATTGTGGGAAAATTCCTCTTATATTTCAATAATGGTAGTAACTTTTATAAGTAGAAACTAAAGTAACACCAAAAAAACAAAACATGAGTATCTATCGGGTCATTTCGGGTTGTGTCATTTCGAATCGGTTCACTTCGGGTCGGGTCAATTCGGGTCGTGTCACTCAATTCGGGTTACTTTGGTTCGGGTCAATTTTAGGTCGGATCATTTCGAGCATCAGGTCACATTTGGGTCAACTCCACTTCGGATCACGATCAAGTCGGGTCGGGTTAATTCGGGTTCAAGTCAATGATTTCGGGTTGCGAGTCGGGTCATTCGAGTCGGATTATTCGGATCGAGTTAGGATTGCCCGATCTAATTTGTAATGCCCAATACTTCCTTTCACTTTCCCATGAGAAAATTAAAAACATTTGATTAAAAAAAAACATCAATTTTTGTTTTACAATCAATATCTTGTGTGCTACTATCATACGGATTAAAAAGTGTTAGATGAGATTTTAGATATTTCGGATTAGGAATTTAGGAGAATATTAGGTTAAAAAATTTTGACAATAATATTACAAAATATAAAGTATATAAAAGATATTCAGAAATATTTTATTTGGGTATATATGAAATATGATTGTTATTCACAAGGTAATGACAAGTGATATGAAAGAATTTGCTTTTAATATAGGTTAATAGATATCGTTTTTGGATATATTTTTTATATTAGGATCAATTTGTTAAATAATACAAGTATCAAACATTATGATATTATTTACTAAATCAATCCTAATATCAATATGAAAAATATATCACAATTCACTAATGATATATTTTCATAATATCCAATATCTCATATAATAATTTCTCTAACAAAAAGTTAGTTATTACTCGTATTATATTAATAAATTTGATCAACTAATTATACCGTACTCCATCTCTTTTGAATCCAATTATGTATGAAAACTAAACAAATTCCCCATCAAATTAGTTGACATTAATTATTACTTCTTCAGCTTCTGAATATGTAAAACACTAAAATATACTTTAGCATAATCATGTTGAGTCTTATTGAATTCGTCTCAATGAATTCTGTATTAGTATTCTGTATTAGTATTCAATTATTGTATTTTCTTAGTAACATGCAACTAAAGAGTGCATGTTATAAAGGTGAGAGTGAGGGATAGTTGAAGTGGTTAGAGCTCCCCTCCCGATTTTAGAAGATCTTGGGATTGATTCTCATCACCCGCCGTTATTGAGTTGTCGGATTAGTCTCAATGTATATTTTCAAATATTAATTTTTGATAATTTTTATTAATAAATTATTATTACATGTATTTAAGATCAAACTAAAATTTCCTAATAATAATAATAAAAAAAAAAAATCAAACTAATATAAATACAAGTAATTTATAAACTGTTATGAATGTTCAAGAACGGAAGGAGTATAGTTGTATTATTGTCAATCTAATACGGGATATCGAAGTGACATGAATTAGCCAAATGATCCAAAAATCATACGTACTTATGTTTTTCCTAACAATGAGTCATCTACTCATCCATGGCTAGCTACCTTGTAGCTATGATCAGTCCGTTACTAAGTGTAGGGAAATCGAGAAGGTGTCTCAACCCACATAGCTGGTGCACTTCGTACATATGTTTTTCTTAAATATGATGGACTAATGTAGTCTTGAATTTTTCGACCAGAGTAGAGTTGTAATCATAAACGCCCATGAATTTTTCGCTTTCATAAACAAAATCATCGACATAGTAAATGCAATTAGGCTTACAACCACGATCGTCTAAGGATGCCTCCACAAAAAAAGATGATTTACGACTCAAGAAAAGAGCTTTATTTCCTAAATTATTGACCTCTTTAGTTTTCCCGTTAACAGTATTCACTTCTCACATCCTGAAATAGAAAGTACCATGGCGAGAGGGATTGGGAAGCTTACAACGAACTAGTAGTAGCGCGTCACCTGATCCCACCAAGTATATCTTTTCCCTGTCCTCGGCCTCTTCCCACGGAGGTTTAACGAATAGAAGCCGAGTGCATATGGCATCGTCTTTGATGACAAATCCAACAATCGTTTTACTGCTCTCATCACAGATATAAAATTCCTCCTTGTGAAAAGTGACAGTAATGTTTGTTGTCATCTCATACTCATCAGCACTTAGTTCCTTCACCACCCAATAATTTTCTTTGCTATTCCAAATCGCGACAGTGTGGACATCGTCGCTATCCTCAGCTTGGAAGAAACAGGCTTAAGATATAATGGGAAGTGTTTGAAGGACTTTCGGACAAAGCAAAATTCACATCGCTGCGAACATAGGATGCAAAGTCTTCATAATTTTTGAGTTTCCACATTAGATCACTTGGGAGCTCAGGGGTTCTAATTGCCTCCTTGGAAATTGGATGCACTAGACTGATCACAATATTCACTGCACCTGTATCGTTTACATAAAATAGACACCCATGCGACGATGACACTATGTACTGCCACATGCCATCAGGATCATCCTCTGGAGTCGGCAAGTCTAGCTTGCTGATCTTGCGGCTGTGGAAGCTGTATAATTGGTCCTTTGAATAAATATTGCCGCTTTCAGGTGCAAGCATTAGCTGAGGGGTTTGACGCGATGCTGCTGATCTATCAGCAAGTTTCATAGCTTTTCTCCAGCACGTACAGAGTTTACCAAACGTCTCAAAATCTTCATAAAACTCAATGTGTTCTGCTATCTTCGTTATCAATTCTGGATGAAGTTTGTAGATCATAGCTTAATCGGAATGTACAGCTACTAAAATCTTTGATTTGAAGAGCCAAAATTAAAACAAAAATATGAAAGACTTAGAGAAACCTTGATACTGTGTTTTTCTTAAATAACCTGAAATAGAGAAATAGATAATTAACAGATATAAATATTGGTATTACAATAATTTAGGAGTATATTAGGAGATAGGATAGTATATTGATATAATTTGTACAAAAATTTTGATATTATTGTGATAGTAGGAGTCTAGTATTAAAAGATAATATTAAGTAAATAGATAAAATATTTACCAAAACTCCTTCCCTTTTCCTTTCTTTCCCTCCGGTCTTCCATCATTGCTATCCAAACAACTCTTTTTCTACATGCCACGGCCGAGACAATTCGGAACAGCAAAATACATGCACGGCTTATTTCCACTGTTTCTGAGTTTCCCGTGACCCTGTCAAGCTACAAACAGTTTGCGTATATATATATATACAACGGTTCATGATATTAAAAAAAAAAAAAAAAAAAAAAAAGAGGGAGAGAGATGATCATTGAATGACACAACAGCTGAAGTTGAGCTTTACAATTGCATGTCCACTAATTCTTAAACCATAGTATGTAATTATTTACAGAAGAAGACTATCCATTTTACAAAGTATTACAAACGTATACTGGGAAAAAAAAATTATCATTTCCTTTTATTGCTCTTCCAAAAACTTGCAGGATGAAGAAATAAGAGGGTATCCATGTATGATGTTATGAGAAGTATAAGCACTACACTTACACGACCAAGGTTCATTATCATATTAGGTCATCTAAAGGGTTCCACGGGAGCGGTCTCTTCAAGAAACGCAGCAGCTTCAAAGCACTCTGCAGCATCAGAAACCGATGATTCACTATCTGCTTTGCAAAGCAGGCCTAGGTTATACCAAGCAACATGATTAGTCCTGTCAAGCTTGAGTGCGTTCATTAGGTAGGTTCTAATGACTGAATTATGCTTACAACTGAATCGCCTGAGTACCATAGCTAAGGAGATTAAGCTTGGGACATAACAAGGATCGATATTCAAAGCAGCGTTGAAAGCATCAAGAGCTTGCTTGTAAAGACCTTTTGCTTCATTATATGAACCTGCGCACAAATATATATAACATGAAATATATCCTTATTTAGACTTATCATTGGACTAGTCTTATTTTTTGACAATGCTTTCTAATACTCCCTCCACTGGGAATTAATAACCACATATACTTCATTAGGATGTTCCAAAAATTTGTCAGCTTTCCTAATATAATAATGGTTTATGATCAGATTTCCATTACTGACATAAGTGGTGGGGAGTGAATTAAAATGATCCACCTATTAAAGGTCTACTGTTATCTTTTTCTGTTTCTGGCTTTGAGTAGCTTTGGGCAACAGAAACTGTAACAGTAAAGATCATTAGCAGGATATTATCTTGCACAGCAGGATATGGTAGTTCTATGCAACACCTTCTAGTTTTTTACGAGAATTCCGATAGTTACACTCAAAAGCAGCAAATAAGCTAGTACTCGCATCATAATCGCAGGGGGGAAAAAAAAAAAATTCATGTCTTCCATCATGTGTAATTCATCTAAAATCACTTACACTAGCTTATTGGAATTTACGTAGGTCTAAACACCCATACTTCCTCACTAACCAAAATTACATAATGCATAAGACTTGGGTTCCTATGTCACCCTACGACAGTAGTCTACTATATCCAATTCTCCATACTGTAAGAATGACAAGAAACTGGTTCAGTATGAAATTAATTACTCTTCTGAACACCAAGCCTTTTTAACAAGCTCTTGCACATTTGCCAATGAAAACTTAACAAGAAGAAAGAAGAAAAGGGAATAAAAGGAACCAGCAATCAAAAAGGACTTTCAAATAGTTGTATCAGGGAGAAAATTCTTTTCAGTTCAAAAGTCATATCAGGGAGAGAATTCCTTTCAGTTTAAAAGTTATACCAGAAGGGACTGACATAGAACATGAAATTCTGGTACAGCACACGATAAAGCAACATTACTACCAAGAAATTAAACCTATCAACTGATCCTCGGATTTCAGAAATTCTATATTAAGGCTTTATTTAGTTCAACGTATCTTGTCTGAAACTATAATATCTAAAGTCATTATCTAAAAAAACTTCTTTTGTCCGTAATTGTCTCATTTGTGTGTGATTATGTCAAAAAAAAAATTTAAAAAACTAATTTTTTGAACTTATTTTGTCAAAACTAAATAATTTATTTAAACTTATCTGAACTTTTATTGTCCGAAATAATCTATACATGTTAAATAAGATGAAACAATCAGACTCCAAGACTAATATATCACGTTGTCAAAAGACTAATATATCACTAAAACCGGATACAATTTGGGATTTTTGGCTTCTCTGAGTATTGAATTTACACAATAAATCTCGGATGCAATTGGGCGATAGCAAGTTGATTAAGCATATATACAAGCTAGTATAAATGACTGCATATGTACCTAAAATGTGCCATCTGGAAGAACTAGTAGGACTGATGGCCTTGGCTTTAGACAGACAAATCTCGGCATCATTCCACTGTGACAAGCTGATATATATACATGCCAGATCATGCCATGTTTGCAGCTCTAACTGCCGATCGTGATAATCAAGACTCTGTCAAAAATAACAAACTTCTGAGCAAAAAAGACTAGTTAGACAGTTAATGATTGATATCTAAATTTAGACCAGATTGCAATTCTTTTGTCAGGGATGTAATTCTTTACCATAGTACAGTATCCTTGAAAATAATTCATATTCCACATTGCACTGATGTAGATGGAATAAAAGTAGACATACTCACAATACAAAACACGCACACTTCTACAGGGGCACACACAGAAAACTTCTAAAATGTATCCTTGCAAAATATTCCTATTGTACCTTTAGGTACGTATGTAATAAATTCACACACGCAAACAAGAGAGTGCGCACAAAGAATTTTCTTACAAAGTAGATCTCCTTTATCAATTTTCATCTTCATGCAGATTTAAGCATAATAAGTAAATACATTAACGCAAAAAGAACCAGTTGATAGACCTTAATGTACCTTCCTGGATCCAGAGCTCTTCTTTTTTACTTGTAAAAGGGCAAGAAATTGCATATATGTCTCAATGGCCTTTTTCAGATTGCCCTGAGCAATTTGGATCTTAGCTTTTGTATTTAAAAGCTCTCCCTGATCCCATTTTCCAATTTGATCCAGAGCAGCATCAATAACTGTTTCTGCATCAACATAACATTTTTGCCCAGATAGAATCCGTGCTAACAGCAGCCATCCTTTAATGTTAGTTCCGCCATCCAACTTCAGCAATTTCTTAGAATAATATGCTGCAGCATTCAACTTTCTTTGCAAAGCATATTGTAGACTTAGATGGTACACAGACATGGAATCACTAAACTTTGTCAATTTCCCAGCAGATTCCAGAGCCAGAACAGCTTCCGTCTGCCTTGTAACCCGCTCGGAATCAGAGACTGCGGATTCAGCATACTCTGAAAATGACACGCCCAGAAAAGAGTACATACGACCAGCTGTATGATTACACCTATCCTCCTTGTAAACTAGAGCTCTTTGAGCATATGTAATCCCTTCCTCAGCCAAGCTAGGGCTTTCACTGCAGATTTTTGATGCCATTAGTAGGCCAGATAAATGATTTGGATCCTCAGAATGATGCAATAACTTTCTTAAAAGATTCAAAGCAGCAAAATTGTCACCATGTGCATTATAACAAAGAGCTAGAGTGTGATACAAATCCTTTCTCTCAATTATCCCAGCAGGCAATGCTTCTATCACCCAGGCTAAAGCCTGCGGTTGATTAGCAACACTTAGAGCAAAAGATAAATGTTCCACAATTGAGGGATCCCATTCAATTTGTCGCCTTGTCACTTTTATTAACAGAAGCAATAACAGCAGAGTAGCCTCTTCTATATTGCTTTTAGGTACAAATGAACTATCCTTTTGAGAACGCAAATTTGGTGGACTTGCCTCAGCACCACTATACAACAGATAAACAGCAAACTCTTTCTGTATTCTGGTAGAAGTATCAGTGTCAAGGTTCCAGCAATGCAGAAGGGCTTTTCGGTACGACAAAATTGCATCCTGCGGACAATCAGCCAATTTCCATAATTCAGGAAGCAACTCCACAGCCCTGATTAGTGTCTCCTGTAGTTTAGACTCAATACCAAAGTTTTCAGGCAAGCCAGCTGGTAATGAAGATTCAACAATGTCCAAAATAATTTTGCATGATTGAGCAGCTTCTGCACAGCAATGATTGGAAAGAATGTCAGCGAGAAAATGATGATCCGGTTCCTGCAAACCCAGATATAATGTTCCCACCAATTATGTTGATTTACAACATCATGAACCCATTTCCGCACAACCAATCAGCAATACTGGTTAAATTAGACGAAAAATACCAAAACACAAGCATATAAATGACAAATTAAAGGCAAACTGAATCCATGGACACCAAGTAATACACCTAATAGTTGTTTATTTTAGCTTCAGGTAACTAATTTCATGACTAGCAAGACAATTAGGCCAATCATCATTTGCAAACCTTCCAACAATCCTCTACTAAATGAAGGAGAAGGGTTTGAGCAAACACATGAATGGTCAGATTTAAAACAACGACACCCCTCTCCCCCTCCAAATAGAGGGTAAAAACCTTTCATCTCTGTCCCTTTTTTTCACAAGATTTAATCTCCAGAAAGAGATGATTCTCGATTTCGAGAAATAACAGTGAGTTAATTCAGCATATAACCTGATTAATATTTAACAAACTCTATTTGATAGGATATAAAGTAACAGACTTTACTAAAACAGGATAATGACCAAGTACTTCACTAAGAACGTGTTCATAAGTTAATAAGCTATACAGCTCATAATGTCGGCTAGAAACAGCCATAGGCAGAAAAGAAAGGATTTGGAAGAAATACCTTTAAATCTCCCAAGGGACTGCAATGACTTTGCTTTTAGTAACATGGCCTCAAATAATAGATTAACAGCATGTAGTGACATTGGTGGCGCCGGATCACTTTGAGAACGCCTTTTTGGACGATCTCTAATTCTGGCAAGAGCAAGTTTGATCTTGGGAGTAACTGAGGTAACATTAATCCCTTCAAATACCTGTACAGCTTGTTCAATGTTTCCTTTCTGATACTCATATTTTCCTAACAACGCTCTTGCTTCCTGAAAAGTGGAGAGTTCATTTAACAGATTCAGCCATCATCTCTAAACACTTGCTCCTGTATTAATAAGCAACACTTTAACCTATTTTGATATGAAATACATTGACCAAACAAGGCAGACACTTAACAAACTTCCTTTGAACTTTGAATTTACTAAAGCTACTCAACAAGGCAACTCATGCAGTTCAACAATTAGTTGATCCCAAGACATGGCAACATTCTCTTCAACTCAGATATGTTACAATCAAGTGTAAGACTCATAAAATAATGTAAACAAACACATTGGAAAACCCTGGAAGACACAGAGGTCTCTTATCATCCATCTCATAATCATTTCATGCAAACCAAGTTGACGAATGCAACACAATCAACATTCTAACAAAGAAAACAAAAGGCAGACAAACCTCATAGTTAAGACCACCACTTTCACGAAGCGATGACTCGGCTTCTTCAATATTCATAGTATCAGGCCTAAGCTGGACATCATCAAGTGAATCAGACCGCTTCAAGATCTCATCCACTCTCATCTGTTCTCCAGAACAGAAACACTGCATTATACTCTGACAATTCCAACAACCACTACTCTTCTTCGGAACTCTTACAGAGCTCCTGTTACTCATATTGCTCGAAACAACGAAAATGTCTGCCACAAGCACATCAACCAAAATCAAGAAAAGTCTCTCATTAATCACATTGCATGAATTTCATACTATTAAAAATTACTTAGAGGAATAGACTACCAAACACCAAGTCAATATAGCAACAGTAAAAATGAGATTGAACTCTTAAATAAGTACAGCAGCTAAGCAACTGATAATACAGCACATAGCTAGAAGCCTAGAACAGAACATTCAATGTGATCAAAATTATGAATACCCATTTTATAAAATGATCAAAATTCCTTAAAACCCCATCAAAAATCTCTAAAAACCCCCATAACTAATCTTCAACAAACCCATCATAAATCCTCAAAACCCCATGAAAAAACCCCGATGATGTAACAGTAAAATCAATCCAAAAACCCCCCACAAATTAATTGAGAGAAAAAAACATAAAATTCAGCAAGAAATCAACCAAATATACCTAAATTGTAATTTTAATCATCATAAAACTTAGTTAAAAATTGTAAAAACTGAGATTAAAGAACTAACCTATTGTCGGAAATATTGAGGAAAAGTGTGCAAAGATGAAGAAAAGAAACAGTAGAGGCCATCATTTAATTGAATTGGCCCTTCAATTAAATTTTTTTCCTCATTGATACTGTTGGATTGTCTTTTGAAGGGTTCTCTTATTTTGATCAAGCACCATGAATTGTTCTACAGTGCTTTTTTTTTTTTTTTCAATTATTTAATTTGGGATCTTTGATTTTAACTCTTTCTGGGTTTAGTTTAATTAGGTAGCCCCTTTTTCTTTTACTAGTATACTCCGATATTTCTTCTCTAGGCAGTAGGCAGTACGTTCGGAGTAGAGTGGGTATGTTTTGGGAATTGTGAATTGGAGTTGTTGTAACGTAAAGGGTAAGATTATGTGACCTCACCCTTTTTATTGTTTTTATTTATTTAATTTTTTTTTTTTTTTTTTTTTTTTTTTTTTTTTTTTGTGTAAGGAAATTTTTTTATTAATCTCAATTTTGGACCAAATGTTATACATAGCCCTTAGGGATACATATAAGGAGCTAAAAATGATAAAACAAATGAAAATATACTCCATCCGTTTCGCATTAGTTGCAACACTTTCCATTTTCGGTCGTTTTATATTAATTGCAACACTAATATATTTGAAAAGGACCCACCATTATTTTATAATTTATCTCTCCCACTAACCCCACTTTCACAAATACTTCTTCCGTTCTATTAATATTGCAACAAGGATGAAATTACGCATCCCAAAGCACATTTTATATACTACATATCTATAATTTTGTAAGAGTAAAAATTATAAAAAGTTGATATTGTGAAAGTATTTTATGAGACGAATCTAACAAGATCTCACATGACTATATATTGCTTAACATATAAATTATATTATATGGTCAAACAAGAGTGATGAATAGTGCAAAAACTCCATGGTTGCAATATTAATAGAACGGAGAAAGTATTTTATTATTTCTCTTTTTTACCAACCCCAGCCACTTTACTTTTTTTTTTATTATTATTTCGGTCTCTTACTAACAATACTTTGTATTATAAGCCAAGTCTAGTCTATAATTTTCTTAAACTATGGGTCAACCCTAATGTTGCAATTAATGCGAAACGGAGGGAGTAACATAATTACACTGATTTGCGCATGATTTTGTCATGTCTTCTTAAATTAATACCAAATTAGGAAATGTATTAAATGTTTATTCATAGCCATAAGGGCTACATATAGCGTTACCCTACTTTTATTAATCCTAATAATCGATTATTTTCTAATAATCCCAACTTTAAGGGGGCATTTTCTTCTATCAGGTCATGACCGGTCAATAAAAGTCAAATACCTATTATAACATGTGTACTTGACATGTATCAAGTCCTAATTGGTCCAAAAAATTAAGAATAATTAAAAATAATATTCCGTAAGAAAAAAAAATTAACCCCCCCTCCCCCCCCCAAATAAAAAAACACCTTACCCTTCCCTTTCCCCCCGCCGCCCTTCCCCTGCTCTCGCAAAATGTTGCAACAACCTCAGATCCACCTCTCCTCTCACGCCCAACAACAGCAACCGCGCAACACAGCCGCAAGCCTTGTCCACCACCAAAGCACCATCTATCTCCCTCAACCTCACCAACTCCAGCGCCACTTGAACATCAGCCGCAACAATTGGCCGCCACTTAGACCACCGTCAACAACAACATCGAATTTTCCAACAACAATAATCACGGGTGGGGAGGGGAGGGCGGGAGGTTTCGAGGGTGGTGGAGTGCTAGTCGGTATTTTTCGAGGGTGGGGTGTTTTCCGGCGGGGGGAAGGGGAGGGGGTGGGATGTTTGCGGTGGGGTATGGAGGAGGCGTGGGGGGTTGAAGGGGTTTCACTGTTTTGTTTTGTTTTTTTTTTTAACTAATGAAATTTTGACACGTGACATTTAAAAAATAAAATAAAAAAGGTAACCTTTTAGTCAGGTCACCGGCTATTTGGCCTTTTAAAAGAAAACGCCCCCAAAGTTGTGATTATTAAAAAATAATCGAAAATTGAGATTATTAATAGTAAATGGCTTAAAGTTGGGATTAATAAAAACAATTTTTCTTTTTTTAATGGTGAGAAGGATCTTAACCAAACCACAATATTTGTGTGCACTTGTAAAGTTGAGAGTAGGGGGAAGATAAGGGAATCCCTACCCAACATCTTCACTTGGTAGGATTTGAACCTCACACCTTTGAGATTTGAGGTAAGAAACTTACTCCGTACCAAATAAGCCAACACTTTGTTGGAATTTACTCCCATGGTTAGAGTCTATTTTCATTAGCACAATTTTTAGGACGTATCTTTAACTATTTCGTATAAGGAATACATGAGACATGACTACAAGTATATTTTTTGCAGTAAGAACTACTTCGTATTTGTCTAATTTTGTAATCTTTGACCATGTAAATAACTAGATGAGCACCGAAGGAGTAATTTGATTCCTATTGATTTGTCCCATCGACCAAAAAACCACAACGATGTTGAACTCTAAAATTATTGGTTTGCTCAAAAGAAATGGATAAGATATACTAAGCTAGTATGAGTATAAACTACCTTATTGTGTAGCTTTGTTGTCTGGACATTGATGCAACTGAGAGATTCTCATGAATCATATCATCAGAAATTCAGAAGTCAGAACTCAGAATTCATAACCATACCAATCCAAGAAAGCCAATTGAAAGTGGCGGTATATTCTATTCCTATTACTTGCCCCCTGAAAAATAAACTCACATGAAACAATTTACTTTGTAGTTTGTATATTCTCGATAAAAAATACTCATTTAATTTCACAATTTACACAATCACACCATATATATTTTTTTCATGGTATTTTAAAACATGTTTTAATCATTGATTTATTTAATCACGTTTTAACCAAATAAATTATTTTCAATGAAAAACGATTTTTCTTTGTTTGACTCTTTATAAGAAAAGTGATAGAGAGAACAAATAGAAGAAGTGGTAATGGAGGACAATAGGAATAGAGGAGAGAAAAAGGAAGATAAGGAGTCTGGAGGAGAGAACGGCTTCCATTTCTTACAAAAGAAAAATGTTTTCCACCAGATTAAACAGTTTTTTTTTTTTTTTGGTTGTGTTCTCATTTCCATATAGAAAAATCGTTCATCCATTCTTACAAATCTTACCAATAAACCACATAAGCTCTCTCACTACAAGCTACGATCACAAAATAGATGTGTATTTTGGTAATAGGTTATCAAAAATTTTCAACTGAAGGATACTACAAGAAAAGAGACTGCAGGGAAAGAAATCAAGAGTCTTCAATTAGTGATTGCAATTTTTCTCGGAATGTTGGTGCTTTGTCTGCCTCAACAGCCATCACCAGTCCCATTAGTCGATAATTTTTTAACTGCATTCACAATTATCAATAAACAAGCTATAGTCAGCATTGCTGGCAAATTATCCTTGAGAAAACACCTTCCAAGACTAGTAATTGACAATGATATAACTTCTAGTAGGCTAAATAACTAAAAGCATGCACGGGTGAATAAGAAAAAGAAGGAATGTATCACGATATCCCTATATAACTATAGTATCTAGATCAACTGAGGCATACAAGAATAAGTAGGAAAATGAAGAAGATAAAGGTGAATGCCAAGACAGAAAGGAAGTTCCAACTAACCTCTTGACTTGCTGGAGGTTGAATGTGCAAGGGGAAAGTAAACGACCACGAACAAAGCTAAAAATCCCATACAGAAATCATCTATATCAAGTGGAGAGATTTGATATATTTTAATTAAAACAAAGGCCTGGGATAGACAAAAACCTCGAAGAAAAGTTCATCTTCTGGTTTTACATATATAAAATCCTCACCATTGCTGCTAGAAGATCCCTTCCTCTTTTGTCCTATCTTCTGCTACAGGCGGAACACCAAGAGAATGCAAAAGATAAATGTACATGAGAGCTGTACATTGAAATTATTTGCTGATGAGAAGTTATCAAGAGGACAAAGAAGAAAACAGAATTGAATTACCTTATATATTCTAGTGACCAGTAGATAATGTTTGAAGCGAAATGATTCACGGAGATCTTTTGTTGGCTTCAGCAAATGCAAAACAAAATGATCAGTTTATTTAGATCATTACCAGTCAAAACACGTAGAAACACATGCTTCTATAGATAAGATAAACTTCATCTAACCTCATCTTCAGTAACCCATGAAATTTCATCAAAAAGGGCATTGTAAAGATGTGGCAGAAGCTGGGGAGGAAGATTCATAACACGCTGGGAAACCACTAGACCAACATGGTCAGCTTGGTCTTCTAGAAGTCTTTTTAGCTCACCAACTACATTCTTTTCCTCGCATACTTTAAGTAAGTAGTCTCTTATTTCAGTGATACACTTATTATCCTGGCATCACAAGAACCCAGAATCATTAACTTAGTTGATTGATCGAGTATAATCAATATAGAAATGGTGGCAAACTTCGAGTTTTGTTACATGTACTAGAGCAATTTGACAGATCAAGCAATTTAAAGGGTCCTTAATGAAATTCTAAAGGGACAAGCCACACCGACAATTGAAAATGAGACACCTGTTGTACCTTATATCTTCCTAAGTTCAAAGCTGTAAGAAGTGCAAACAATCCCTCATCTTCATCATCTTCTATCTTGACCACAGAGCCCACTGTTGTTTGTGCTAATATTAAGTCTACAAAACCACTCAAGTCCCACACCTAATCATCAAGATAGCTCTGTAGCAACATCTTTACTCCATGAAAGTCATCAGGCTTGGGGTCAAAAAAGGCAAAATCTTCCTGAATTACTTCCTTTGAGAAGAAATCAAAAAGGAGAAAATAATTAGAGCAAATAAAGACAACAAGAATGGAAGCATTCAGCTAGAATGGACATTCACAACAACCAACAACAATTAAATGCTTACTTCAGGCGCTTCTTCTTCAGAAAATTTAGATTCTCAACTGTTCTCCTTCAAATTGTGCTTCCTACTAGATCTATTGGCTGAAAATATATAATAGAAAAGATTTCTAAAAGTCATGTTAGATCAGCACATGAATTGCTAATCATAAATAGAAAACACAGGGCACTTATATAGGACAATGTTTATAATAGAAAAAACACCTATTAGTTTTGAGGAAGATTTTCTGTCAGATTTTGAATTAGAAACTTTGTGCTTTGATGAGCAAGTTGTGGCAGCTCTAGTTACTGAACGAGCAAATGGTTAAAACGCAAAAGGTCGAGGCACCAGCTGGCCACTTCTTCGTGGTTTTCGAGGCATCCCCTTATATCTGCACATAAGCAAAATTTTGTTGAAATCCATCTTAAAACATCATACTTTTTTCACCCTTCTTTTCTCTTTCTGAATGCAAATGAACGGGGAAAAAAGAATCAAGCAAAGAGCATCAAAGCACTCCAGCAGTAAGAATTTCAGCTAAGTAATAAGTTTAATTGGTACAAAGAGAAAGTATTATGTAACAAACACAACTCAAAAGTTAATGTCATACGCATATCTACACATCAGAGAAACTCAAACATCCATAAGACACAAACAATTGCCTAAAGCTCATCATACCATTTTACAATATTTAACAATGACCTTTTTCAATGATTTTTTATTTTTATTTTTTTATAGTTAGAATCTATTACTATGAAAGGACGTAAAGCTCATGATACCATGAAACCGAAACTCATAACACCAAAGGATTTAAAACCAACTACACCTCCATACACCCAAACCGCTAAAATTAGCAACACCCATCTAGTAAAAAATCAATAATCTAATCAACTAGCTACAGTCATTGAATTGGAAACTCATTACACCCTTTATTTTGAGCCAACTAATCTCACAGGCACAACCTCTCAAATAATTAGGCTCATCCATGAATTATTTTTATTGCTCAAGAAAAATGCATTAATAAGACAAAAGTAATCATTGCCTTCCAAACAACTCAACACATAAGAACGAACATCGAATTCAAACACCCCCATCAAACCAACTCCTCAAAACCTTGCCTCTTGATCCCCTCAAATCAATATACGTAGTAATTTGTAATGCACTTATGCAAACAAAACAAACCCACATAGAACTATCACAGAACAGCTAGTCTACCATATTACTCTAAAACAACAATCCCAATTTAACCAATACGAGCAGCCCAGCCCCCGAGCCAGGGCAAGAGGGGCGGCTGCATTTAGCCCCAGGAGAAAAGGTCCATTTTTATAGTTCCCTCCTACCATTAAAGGGTTATAAACAGATTCCTGCAACACATTAACAACCAAATTTGACTCAATTATCAAATTACTCCCAAAAAAACCACACAAAATTCTTCTCTTTTAAGCATATAAAACGTAAACAATACACAGTAAAACTATAGCAACAAAATCCCACATTATAATCAGTCATAACTTGAGTAATTTTAATCAATAGTTCAGTAATACACCTTAGAAGAACCCTAAATTGACTACTGACAATTAAATTATTGATAATGTGAAACTAAACCCTTGATTGGGAAATTAATATACAATGAATCGATAATTAATGATAATGAAATAAAAGGAAAAATCAGCTTACCTCAGAAGTTGCTTCAATGGTGGAGAGAAATCTCAGAAGCCGCTTCAATGGAGAACACAGAGTATGCTTCAATGGAGGAGAAAGGGGTGTGCAGCGCCGAGTGAAAAGCCACACGCATACTACTTCGACGTTATAATTAATTTTCATCTTAGGTTTTTTTTTATTTTTTTTTATAATTTTTTTTATTTACTTATTTTTTTAAAGGAAATTTTCATTTTCATTTTTGTTATTGTCTCTTTACTCTTAGATTTTTTTTTTTATTTTTATCAGTTAGGCGCTGTTCACTTCACCTTAAAAAAATAATATTCTGTAAACATAATTTCAATTCAATAAAAATAATTTCAATTCAACAAAATAAGTTTAGTTCAGTAAAAATAATTTTAATTCAGTTAAAATCAATAACTTTAAAGAAGAAATATAAAATAGAACCAGTAAAAATAATTTAAGTTCAACAAAAAATAATTTCAATTCAGTAAAATTAATTTCAATTCAGCAAAAATAATTTTAAGTTCAGCAAAAATAATTTTAGTTCAATAAAAATAATTTTAGTTCAGCAAAAATAAGGTGCAGTGAATGGGGCCTTATAAAAAAATCAAATTTTTTTTACCACCTAAACAAAAATAAAATTGTATTTTACCACATTCAAAATTTTTTTAACATGGATTATAAAACTTATGCAATTTTTAATTGTGTTTAAATATTAAAGTTTCCAAAAGTTTAATTTTGATTGATTGACAACATTAAAGATTTTTATCTCCTAATTTATTGTTACTAGATGAAGTCCGTGCGATGCACGATTTGTTTGTATTTATTCAAATAAAATATTACTAAATATATATTTATCTAATAAACTTTGTGATATTCGCTTGTTTACTACTTAAATTTTTAATTATAAAATGAATTATTAACTTTGTTTCTCATATTTAGATAAAATTCATAACATAAAAAGATAATATTTTATTTCACAAAATTTCATATGTGGCTGGTCACACCATGTAGTCGGGATTACTTGGTCAGGAGTTATTTGGTTGATCAAGGGTTACTCAATCGATCAAGGGTGGTTATTCGGACGGTCAAGGGTAACTCGGTCAGTGTTTGGGTTTGTCTCAGCCTGCCATACGATATGGCCAGCCACACAAAAAACGCGCTAATTTTAATTTTATAATTAGTTAAATTTTTTGATCTAAAATAAATTGCAATTCTTTTTTTTCATTGGCTAAAATATAACTATGTGACGCTCTAAAATTAAGCTTACGTGGCATAATCCTATTGTAGTGTTTTAAAATTATTATTCCTACGTGGCGTTTTTTTTTATTTTTTATTTATTTTTTTTATTATAATCCTAAGTGGCGCTCTAATAATTTTTTAAAAAATAAAATCCTACGTGGCGTTCTAATAACTCGGGAAAAAACTCCCCTTTACATGTATATATTAGATTAGATTTTTAGGCAAAAATTAACAAGCGTCCCAAGGACCAGGATCGGACAACCTAAAAGAGTTCAACATAATTATTTATATGTGTCTGGCCACAGTATATAAGGCCCAAGCATGAAGCATGCAGTCCAATTTGTTATAACGGTCTCCATTACAGAGCACCGTTATAACTCTCTCTCTCTCTCTTTTTTTTTTATTTTTTTTTTTTTTATATATATATAGATTTTTTAACTCCTCACTTCCGATCCTCCTATATATTAACAAAGTGAGTAAGTGACATTTCTTCTTTCTTGTGTCTTAACTTTTTCTCTCTCCTCCATTTATATATCATTCAAATTTTATTTCTCCACTGTTGTTATTTATTTTCTCCCTCTTAACTTCAATAATACTATCCTGCACTTTTTTGCTATTCTCCATTGTAGATATTCTAATTTTACTTCTCTTCAATATATACACCATAATATATCGATTTAGAATGAACTTGGAATCGCAATCAATCGAAATTCAGAATAAACTTGGAATCGCAATTGAATTAAGTCGATAATTCAAAAGTGTATGGATCGGACAAGTGCAGCACCGTTGTTGTCGACCTCTGTTGAAATTCAAGCTTTTTCCATGTTTAATTCAATAATTTGTACGAGTTATATGTAATTTGTTATAAGTGTATTCGTATGGGGTTACTATTTTGTTGGGGTTTAATACCCCATATATTTTATGATTCTTTGTTGAAATTCAAGCTTTTGCCATTTTGTGTTTTAAATTTCTCTCTCCTCCATTCTATTTTTCTACAATTCTCTCTCCTCTAAATTCTTGTTCTTCGTTTATTCAAAACAAAATATTCTTGTTTTTCGTTGCACTATGACTAAATATAAGGATTACTTGTTAACAAAAATGGGGTTACTTGAGCTGTTAGTAAAAGTGAGGTACTGGGTTACTTGTTAGTAAAGTGGGGTTACTTGTTAGTAATGTAGGGGTTACTTATTTAGTAATGAAGTTACTTGCTAAGTTAAAACGGGGTTACCTACTAAGTAAAACAGGACTTAAATTACTTAGTATTTATGGGGTTACTTGATCGGTAATAGTAGGGTTACTTATTAGTAATAGCGGGGTTACTTGATTGGTCAGTAAATTAGGAATTACTTAAATTATGGGTTGCTTGAATTTAGGGGTTACTTATAATGTGGGTTACTTGAAATTAGGGGTTACTACTTGAAATTATGGGTTATTTGAAATTAGGGGTTACTTATAATATGGATTACTTGAAATTAGGGGGTTACCTGAATGTAGGGGTTACTTGAAATTGCGCGTGAGTGTCAGACTTCGTTATACGCGTCAGACTCCGTTATTTTTGCTAAGTTGGCAGCAGTGTGGCCTGCTGCACCAAAAAGACGCTAAAAGAGCTAAAAGTGGAGATATTAAAGTAAAATAAATATTAATTATACCGATCAAGTATTGGGGATGCTCATCAGAAGTTCCTTTTTATAATAATTTTGGGATAAAGCAGTAGTTATCATTATTAAGCTACAACTTAGAGTCGTGTATGGTTTTAGGAATATAATATATCCCAAAAAAAAGAAAAAATTGGAGAACAATATGAGGTGATAAAGGTAAAGAGGGATGATGGAGAATGCGGCTAGGCAGGGATCATGGAGGACTCCTGCTAATTAAACACTGATGGGGCTTGGAAGAACAGCGCAAATGCTGCTGGAGGAGGTGCAATCAGAAGAGGAAATGGTTCCTGGTACATAGGATTTTCAGCTAAGTACAATGCTGTTAATCCTTTGGCCACTGAACTCTATGCTATCATTGATGGCTTGGCTATTGCACAGGATCTGGGAGTTAAGAAGATAGAAGTGGAGACAGATGCTGAGTCCTTGCGCACAATGCTTCTTACAATTGGAGGTAACCCGCACCACGAACTAGCAGCAGTCATATGTGATGCAGCCTCTCTGTTCAGTGATTTTGAGGTGGCTTTTATCAATCACATTCCAAGGGAGATGAATATTATGGTGCACAAACTGGCGGAGTATGGGAAGGATATGGCAGTTGGCTACAAAACGCACTACCTTGTTCCTGAGTGCGTGAAGAACTTCTATGAAGCAGACTTGGAAGCTGCTGCTGCTTAATCTATGCTATGGTTTAGTGTTATTTCTAGGATGTGGATGTCTAAATCTTTTGAACTCAAACTTGTTGTTTGTCTTTAGTTTAACTAGTAGTTTCGGAAGTAGTTTAACACTGCTCTCAATATTGGCTATGGCTATGGCCTTTTAATATAATCTATGGTTTTGTGTTAAAAAAAACATCACTGTTAATGTCACCGACATCATGGCCTTGTTTGATAAATGACTTTTTAGTTGTCTTTTGATTTTTTTTATGTGGTTATACAATCAAAAATCATGTCTGGTTTATGCTTTTTAGGTTGGCTAAAATGCCAAAATAAAAAAGCTAGTATGCTTAGTTTTTGGCTTTTGTAATGTTAAAAGACTTTTCTACCCATAATTAATAATTAAAAAAGCCATAAGCAACTACCACTAGTTTTTTCAATTTGGCTTAAACGCCAACTTTTCATCCAACCAAAAAACCATTAACCAAACAGGTTTTTTTTTTGCTGTTTAACCAAAAAAAAAAAATTAATAAAAAAAAAAAGCCAACCAAAGAAAGGTTAATAAGTTGTTTACCAAACATTCAAATAGATTTCAATATATAAGCTCTCCAAAAAACCTCTTTACCAAATAAGACCATTATACTACGATATATTTAAAAACGGGAATTTATTATGAGACAAATGATCAAGCGTAAATAAAAACATCCAATATGGAGGAACTGAAAATTTCAACCTTCGCTTCCATTTGCAAACATTAACTATGTTAATAATCCTATAAGATCATTGCTTAGTTGAGACAAATCATGCATATAAAAATTCCTGCTATTTAGCATTTGCCAGATTGTTGAAGGGTTCTTCTTAATTTCCTCTTGGCACCGTGTACTGTCCTCCATGGCAGCCGAAGCCGCCTTTTTCGCAGCCCCATAGGCCTTAACATTCAAAGATTTTACAACAGCAGGAACATCTTTGTTAGTAGCTAAGGTATAGAAGTGAACACAAACACCAACTGCCGTCTTCAACTTGGGGGGGCAGGCCTTTTGAAGTCCTTGAATATAGGTCGAAGTTTCCTTTGCGTGAGCTTCAAGCTTGCCAAGGGCTATCTGGGCTAGCCCTTGGACACTTGCTTTGGCACTTCTTGGATCTGACTGGAGTGTAAAGACACAAAAGCCGAAGTCAGTTGTTTTCCGACATGTAAGCACCACTGGATCAGTCTCGCTGTTCAACTTCCTCATCAGCCCACTGCATAGAGTTGATGGTGAAGCAATGAAAACAAAAAAGAGAGCAATGTTTACAATGATGGAATGCATTGTGCCTAGTTGATTGTATTTAGTACTAGACAGAGAGGGATGAGAATACTCATCATACAAAACTGACTTATATAGACAAAAAAGATTAGCTTGATGCAGGTAATCAACCAGATGCCCACAGATCCGCAGTATACGGATGTTTTTCTCACGCATTTAATTTATTCTGATTTTGTCCAAATAAAACACAATATTGATATCAGAAGTGATATAATTTCTCCTCATTTGTCCAAGTATAACAATATTGATATCTGAAGTGATAGCCTCAAGATATTGCGCTAAAACCCAATAAAGAAGCAAATAACAAGAATTAAAATAAAATGATAGCCTTCTAAATAAGCACATAAATTCATGTCAAATAATGCCAAGCTAAAAATTTATTTCAGCACATAGAAACTGAGCTTTAGTCAACATAAAACTAGAGGTCCTATTTTTCTTCCTTGTTAACCTCATCTTTCGGCTCCTGCTCATAACGACGCTTGAACTTGGCAATCTGCCCCAAGCTTTGAGCCATCTGACGTTTTGCTCTGAAGTGATAAACTTTGGGTTCTCGGTGAATTTTACTCATCATGACATTGATCAACCTACCACTTTGGGTTACATAGGATATCCATTGCATCTGAGGGTGCAATCCTTTCTTCATTTTCAAATTCTGCAGATGCCAAAGAGAAGCTAAATAAGAGAAGGAAAAGTTGAACAACAGAATTCTGCAGCTCATCAGGAGCAAGTATTATAAATATCAGGGCCAGGCAGAGATCAGTAATATACGTAAAGATTAATATTCATCTAATATTTAAAAATCGTGCGTGTGTGTGGTGGTGGATGGGGGGGGGGTGCAGGGGTCAATACATGCAGAAGATCAAGCTCCAATTCTTCGATATAAAATTACAGGTCAAAGAAGAAATCACACACAGTATCACCAAAATTTTGGAAAATGTAAAATTTTCAAATAATTACTAGGCACTTGAATGAGATAAAGTGTCTTAAGAGACTGACACAGATTTTCATCAGTTAAGATCACCACCACCTCAGAGCTTTTGCGGTAGAAAAAGGAGGTGAGGATGAGAAGTTCCTATACATAACAGTGATTGAGAAACTGATTAAAGGGGTAGAAAAGAACAAACTTAACAGCTCAAAAAATTTCACAATTTTCTTTTACTAATGCTTCCTTAATTTTTTTACATAATTATTTTTGCCCCCTTCTTTTCCATAGTTAAATAGTGTGATAGACTGATAACAGGCTTTTGGCACAAGGCTCAAAGCTCAAAGCAGTATGAACACATAAATAAAGAGCATGATGGGTATACATACACTAAAAACTTGGATCACTATTATGGGATATAATTTAGTTTTTAGAGGTGAACTTTATGAGGTAAAATAACCTTAGTAAAATATGAGGCAACTTTGTAAAAATTGAGGAAATTGACCACCCTTCTGTTTGGATTGATAAATCAATCTAACACACACATTTGTGAAAAAAGAAAACATAAAAGAAACGTATTTCCACCCCTCTCCTTTCCTAAGAAAACAGGAGGCTCAAAGTGCACTGGATGCCTGGATGGTGATGGAATTCCATTCTGACCATGGACATGGCAGGTCGACCATGCCAAGTCTTTTGGAGTATTACTATTTTTTTCCTATGCAATTCTTTTGGAGTATTACTATACAATGACGATGTATTGATTACTGGTTGTCAAACCATGAAAGTGTTCAGTTCATGGATTGATACTTTCCTATACATATTCTACGAAAGAAAGGATTTTAGGCCTAAAATTTAAGTTATGAACAACTTGACAATAAATCAATAATGCAGTGGATCTTTATGTTGTTTAAGTTAAACATTCTTCTGTTTATGACATTTATCCAATAAGACTCAAAATGAGAGGAACCACAGGAGACAAAATCACAAAAATTGGGAGGAAACAGGAAAAGGTCAACTTTAAGCATGGCGAAAATGGAAGAAATTGCTCAAAAGATCAAGAGTCACAACACAAGATATGTCTATAACTGTGACATGAGTACTCTTTGAGCTTTGAAGCCTGTTTAGAAAGGACAATGGAGTAAGGCTAGGGAAAAAAAAAAGGTAAATTAAACCAGGCAAGAATACCCATTCCACAATAAAAACACATGAAAAGGTTATAGGCTGACAATTTGCAGTTCTTGGATAGATGCATTCATGACTTTTTCGCTCACTCTAAGTATAAGGTGTACTTGTCATCATAGCACACTTGTGACTTGTGTGATTGTGTCAGTGGCAGATCCAGGATTTGATTAATAGGTTGTCCCATTATCATCCATCGACCGCATATAATATCAAAAAATAGTCAAAGCTTGTATAATGAATCAATCTAAATAATTCTTGCTAGTTTGCTACTAAGACATATAAGTATTAAAGCATAATAGCATGAAAACTCAGCTTAAATTACCTCTTTTATGATTTTCACAGCAATCTTGTGCTCGACACTTCCTCTGCGTTCAAGAACTCGGCTTTCCCAAGAATCTGCCCAAACAAAAACTAATTAGGGCTTATGCTTTGATAATTAAGGTTATATAACCAAAATAATAATAATAATAATAATAATAATAAAAAAAATCAGCTACTACTAGTATTTGTTTTAAAATCATCTAAAAGCACAATACAGAATCCTCAATTCTGGAGTATTAGTAATTTAGTAGATCAATTCTATCAAAATAAATTAACAAATTTAGCACATATTGGCAAAATTAACATCTAACACTAAATCAATCAAACCCCCAATAAAAATTAGCAATTGACAGGTAAAAACAAAAATCTTTGACCGATGATTTCACCTTGACCTTCGTTCTAGATCCGTTTTCTATCTCCTCGTTCAGCGACTATTTATCCCTTTCCCTGACCCGAAACCGCCGTAGACTCACCAAAGACACACCACACCACCATTGCACTGCCACCACCTCCACCCAAATCATCAATGCCTCACTGCCCTTATCTTCAAAACTCACCCAAAAACCACCATCACCATGACATTCACCTACCCAACCAAAAACACCACCGATCCTCACCACCGGAAACCCCACCCACCCCTCATAAGTTCACCTCCACCCCTTGAACCCCCCCCCCCCAACCCCGTAAGTTCAACCCCACCCTCCTGAAAAATCTACTCGCCCCCTTAAATTCACCTCCACCTTCTCGAAAAACCCACCCTTAGCATTGATTAGCCACCTCCACCCAACGAAAATCCACCCTGACCCCCATAAATCCACCCTCACCTACCTGAAACCTCCCCCCCAACCTTAGAATAACAAGATCTAATAAGAGACATAAACTGAAATGGAGGCGGCGGTGCAGTGCTTCGATTAGATTGGTAGTGCAAGGTGATGTGGTGCCTTGGTTAGGTTGAGACGGTGCTTCACCTACCTGAAACCATTCCCCCACCCCTCGGAATTTTCATGGTTTCATCCTGACATTAAAGATTTAAAGAGTTACACAAACGGACAAACCAAACCCCGCAACACATTAGCAATCAAAATTGACTCAATTATCAACTAGACTCCAAAAATTACGTAATATTCTTCGAGTATCTATAACCAATAGTTCAATTATCCAACTTCGAAGAACCCTAAATTGAGTATATAGTGACAATTAATTAATTAAATTAGGTCAATGATAAAAGAAAAAGAAGCATCTAACCTTTGAGACTGCTTCAGTGGAGGAAAGAAAGCTCAGAAGCCCCTTCAATGGAGAATTTCGAGTACGCTTCAATGGAGGAGAGAGAGAGGAAGCCAAGGTCTGTGTCTGTGCCTTCTGGGAGGAGAGTGGAAGGAGTGAGTACCGGGAAAAATAGATCTAAATTTTTTAGTTTTTTTTTTTTTTTTTTTTTTTTTTTTTTTTAATAGGTGGTCCTGTGACCCACAATGACTATGTGGGTCCACCACTGGATTGTGTCACAGCTGAAACAACTAAACAACAAATAAGTCGATCAAAACATGAAGTGTAAGGTCAATTCCCTTCTTTTTTTTCCCTTCTTATTAAGGGTTGGATCTTTCATAGGCTTTTACTCATTTCTTTGCTCATCTCTATATTGGTTTTGAGGAATTCATAGGATGTATATAAGGCATGAATCGCTAAGCCATTGACCTAACTAGACGATTCACTAGCTCCAAATTTGCTAAATGCTCTCCAATACAGCCATCATCAAACAACCCTAATCAGTAATTTGAAACCCTTATGACCTCATTCGGCCACAATCAAGTCAAATTGCAATGTAGGATTTCGGGTAACGAATCACAGGCAAAAATCACTTTGACTAATAAGATTAACAAATCGAGGAGTGCAAATAATCTACATAAAATGGCGATTACGCCAACATAAGTTCACCGCATATAACACAAAATTAGGGCCTTCGCTAAGCAAGGGCAAAGAAAAGGTCTATATTCATAGTTTGATCCAAACATTTAAGGTTTTGACTCAATTAAATTATTCTCACATTATTAAGAATATGAATAGCAGAATTTTAGAAACACAATCGCAAGTTTTAATGTATCATAACTTCAGTAATTATGCGCAATAGTTCAATAATCCATTTTAGAAGAACCCTAAATTAAGTATGCTAACAGTTAAATATTTACGACTAGCACTAGATTGTGAAACTGATATTCGATGATCAGAAAAAATTAGCTTACCTCAGAAGCAGCTTCAATGGAGGAGAGAAAGCTCACTAGCTCAGAAACTATGGAGAACTCAAAGTACGATGAAATAGAGGAGAGAGAGGGTGATGGACTGATGGCCCTGATGGGTTTTGTAAACGTCAGAAAGCTCTAGGCTCTGTTTTGACAATAAATTATTACTTTTTGCTAACTAGTTGTGGACCTACACGCGAAAGTCCCCCAAATTTGGTGATTTTTGATCAGTTTTTGGTTGTAAAGTATTAGCTTAAATGTTGCTAATGTTGTGATGTGAAGTGAGAAGATTTTAATTGCAATTTTTAGTAGTTAAATCTTCAATGCATATGATGATTGGAAGGTTGAACTTGGGAAAGAATGAGGGCTCTGCTTCCTCTTCTCAAGATGTCCCTACCCAACCAATCCCTACTCACTGGATCAAACTCACTCCTATAAAGGAGTGCGCCCCCATTACTCACAGTGAGTAACAGGTTATGTTACTCACAGGGGTATAGCCGACTTTTCACCTACTATAAGTCACTTGGTGGATGGGTGATGTGGCCTCATTTTGCTGACGTGTTTTACTTGGTTTGCCAATTGTACTCATGTTGGGTTTCTCACAATTGACACCGTTCACATTGGACGTTTATGGAGTTTCATGAAAACTCCGAAGCCCTAGTCGAAGAAAATTTCAATTGGACTTCGTTGAAGCTGAATTGGAATTCTGGGCGGAACTGAACTCGAAGAGGTCCAACTTGAATTTCAGGCGGAACTCAAGGCGAGGAGGTCCTAACTTGAATTGTTGGTGTATTCAGGTTCTTTCTCATTCAATGTAATTTCGAACTGGCTTTTTGTTTTTCGGTATTTCGAATTTTTTATGGTTGGGGTTCGATGTTCTGTATGTCGATTGTTTCTGTTGACAGAATTAATTCGATGCTAGGGTTGCAGTTCCACTTCGGATCTGTACAAGCAAAGGTAAAAATGGTAATAGTTTGACTGTAATTGATAAATTGTGGAATTAGCGGAATGTAAGTGAAACTTGTTAAAAAATGGAATTGTTGCGATTATGTTTGTTGATTGGATGTAAACGGAATAAATTAATGGAATGTGTGGAATTTAATTGGAATTTTTAAATTACGGGTGCAATTATGCTGCTCATTCCATTATTAAGTTTCATGGAATGAGGTGAATTGTGCAATCATTGGTGGTCATTGTTCGTTCGTTCTATGTGATATTGTGTTGTGGTGTGAAGTCGTATGAATATTCGATTCGTTTTGATTGGTTATTATGGGTATTCTTATGTTACAGATTATGAAAATGTCAGTGGGGAATGGTAAGCGTAAACGTACAATGGTGAGGGTTATTTAAATTTAAAAGATAGTCTGTAGGCTGGTGATGTGTTGATGTTTTGAATTGTGGTTTTATGGGGATGTGATTATGTTCTGAATTATGGTATAATGTTTTGGTATGTTGTGGTTATGAAGGTTGGGGCTGAAGATGAAGAGGGGTATGGGCTCATTAAGAAGAGTAATGTACGTGAGCAGAAGACCATGCCTTTGTATCCAGAATTGTTTAAGGTACTACATTACGTAATTCTGCGTGTGTGAAATTGTTTTGTTTGCACGATTAAGGTTTATGCATGAATTGAGTTGCTGGTGTGCTTAAGATGACGGATTAAGTTATGGAGGGGCCGTCAAATGTAGGGCGGAGGTGATGGCTGAACATTCAAAGGCCAGAAGTCGGGTAAGTTTGCTTGTTAATTCAGTTGTCAGTGGGTGTGGGATAGCAACATTAACTTAATTACTGTAATTTCATTGGCAGCCTCCTCACATGAGTTGCCGCATCGAGTCATTTGGGCGCATATGTCAGAAATTTGATGACAGGCGAAGACGTTGGGTTTGTGAGATGGGATTTGGCAGTCTTTTACATCTTGCTTTAGATATGCATTTACCTAGGCAATTGGCATACTGGGTCATGACACGGGTGGATCCAATCAGTAAAATGCTTAGAAGTCCCAACGGACTTGAGTTTCGGTTTTCAAAGAATTAGGTTCGGTGGGTACTAGGGATACCAATGGGTTCTAGGACTGTTCCTAGTACTAAAACCATGACCCAACATGATCGTGTGAAGGTTCAGAGATTTATTCTCAAGTATGGTAAATCGTGGGAGTCCAAGTCTAGTAGACAATCTGGTCAGGTCTACACGTCTGTAGGCATACCTTTAAGTTCAGATATGATGAATCGGTTGGAGGGGTACTTTGATGCTGGAGAGGAAGAGGAATTCAAGACGTTGTTCTTGATAATTGCTTTAGAGATGGTGTTGTGTCCCACGCAGTCACCTCGGCTTGCGTCTGACCTACTACCTGCAGTAAGCTGTGCTATGGAGGCGATTGAGTACGATTGGTGTTCTTTAGTGTTGTCGAAATTGCTAGAGAGCGTACAAAATTTTGCTCGACGTTTCTATGCTAATGGGTTTGCCAGTGGATGCGGCAGGTGTGCAATATTTGCCGTAGTATGTGTTTCAGTGTATTGTTGCTTGTTCTTTTTTGTCTTGTGCTTTTGTGGTTTAGTAATTGCTTGTTTTGCTTTTATTATGTGGCAAATATTTTACTTGGATCGGTTGGATAGGGATCCTATTCAGTGGGATGTTTTTCCAAGAATTAAAGTGTGGACAATGCAGCAGATTGGCAAGGCAGCAAAATCAGACAAATTGCTGTCCGGCGACTACGGGAAACTAGGGGTAAGCACTTTTGTATTTGTATTATATTGCATAGTATGCATAGTGTTCTGATTTAGAGTAACCTTTTTTCCATTGGTAATTGGTTGTGTGGCTGAAGCTACTGGATGTTGCTTACGGTGAACAACACCCTAGGGATGCAAGGGATAGTGTTGGACCCCTACAAGCTGGAGCGAATAATGTGAGGTTTGACCTTAAAGTAGTTGTTTCACCCGTGTACATTGAATCTGAATCTGATGTAACTTTGTTTGGATACAGATGCATGATTTACCAGTGCCTGGGGTTAACTTCAAGGCCAGGCAAAGGAGGGGCTGAATGCCTGAGCTAACAGATCAATGAGCTCAGTTACACTTGTATTTCTATTTGTATTTCTACTTATATTTCTATTTGTAATTTTTTCAATGTGGAATGTTCTGAATAATGTTCTATTTGTATTTTTTTCAGTTTGGAAAGTGTAATGTTCTACGATATGGTTATTATTTTCACTTTGTTTAATACTCAAAAAGTTTGTCAGTTGACGAAATTCATTCCTATTGTTTGTTGTATTAATAATATAGAATATTGTTCCAATTGTCAATTGTTTTAAGGTCTTGAGATTATTTTCGAGGCTTTGTAAAATAATTCGTACAGTGTCTTCAAAACTAATGATTGAATGAATCAGTTTTGTACTAAAGTGGCCTTAAAGAAATAGAAATCAATGAGCTCAGTTATTTGTATTTCTATTTGTATTTCATTGAAGGGTTAAGGTGAAGGCCTTGAGCTAAGTGAATATTTTAAGGTCAAGGCCTAGAGCTAAGTGAATATTTAATCCCAATTTATATTTTTTAAAATTAACCCTATTATAACTTTGAAAACATACTTAGAAAATATTGGACTTGAACAGTACAACCTGCATTTTGAAGTAAAAGCAGCAACATAAAGCAAAAAAGCAGTAAAAGAGACAGATACTATTACGAAGTTCGGCATAAATTGCCAACGTCTCCGCCTAGGACGGTTCAAAGGTGTAATAAACTGATTTAACTTTTCGGTGTCAAGGCTTTGAGATTTAATACAAGGCTTAAATAAATGTTGCGTTAGTAAAGTGTCAAGGCTTTGAGATTTACTACAAGGCTTAAAGAAAAGTTGCGTAAGTAAAATTGAAGCCGCAAAATAAAGCAAAAAACTGAAAAAGCAGTAAAAAAGACATATTATTACGAACTTCGGCAAAAAAATGCCTACGTCTCCGCCTAGGGTTGTTCAACCCCTAGGTTTTTAAACTTTTTTTTTAATTTCTCCCTTTACAGCCCTGAAGCACCTACAAGATCACCTCTCTTATACCCGTAATCACCCGATTACACTTTAGAAACAATTAGTAAAAGAATTCAAAATAGGAATAACAAAAATGTCATGGAGGAAAAATGATCATATGCGTGACTGTGGGTTCTGTTGTCTGGATTGGTGTTCCAGATAAGAGCATCGCAAGTGAAACCTTACTGATAAATTTCTCCCACACCGCGTACTTGTAAATATAGCATCTCTTTTAAAATCCAAGCACATCATTCTGGTTATATCTCTCATCAAGTATCGATAACCAATTTTCAGCTGTTTCCATCTTATCTGTTAAAA